ATGATTTGCAGCTTCAAAACCTTAAAAAAAATTAGTGGTGAATATTGTCATGTATAACATGCTGACGTTATGGCACACTGTGAAAACCGTCTTTTTTACCCGGTAATTGATAGATTAGATCTAAATGAGCATGATTGGTGAAGAAAACCCGCAATTCCTACAATCGCAATATTTTTCAGTTCCGAAAACGCCTGTTTTAATCCCAAATTTTCAAATCGCATCAACTTTTTTTTGTATAGACGAATTTTGTTAATATTTTGGATATTTCCTATATGGACCAATGCTAATAGAACCTCCAAATCAGATTTCTCGATTTAAGTAAAAAAATTTTGTATCTGATGTGCGTCGCGACAAAATCAAACCGCTTTTCACTTCAGCGACGCGTTTGGCGTAACTTGATTTGCTCATTATTTTCCCGACAGACTGATCGTCAAGATACACAACCTTGAGCCGCCGCTGACGTCTCTTTCATAAAGAGGGTATGAATGAAATAACTCTACAGTAACGAACCTGATCCACTGGCAAAAAACGTACCGTTTTGCATCCGGCAAGTATCAAAAATGTGGCAAAATGCTTCCCTCTCTAAGTGAAAGGAACTTTGTTTTGAAGGGCGCGCCCTTTCTCCTCACAAAAAGAGCGGGCGCGATTTTGAAATCTAAGTTTTTTCACTTGGAGAGGGAAGTATTTTGCCACATTTTTGATACTTCCTGGATGCAAAATGGTACGTTTTTTGCCATTGGGTCAGGTTCCCCACTGTACATCGGCGGGGCAAAAAATATTTTTTTCTGATCTTTTCGCTGCGTCTTCTACACTCTCTCATAACTTCTCCAGTACTGTCTATTACTCCTTTGATTCCTTTACATTCCCTTCACAGCGATTTTATGAAAATCCAAGTTTCCTCGAACAATCTTTGCTCGGCTCCAACTACGTACGTAAATCCCAATTGGCGGCTCTTTTGACGCAACTTTTGGAACTTTTGGAACTCATTAAGCTCATTGAAACGTTGTCCAATTCCGGGTTTTTTTTATAGACTGCGGACTTTTTAAATGCTCCCCATAGACTAAATATAATTTCAAATTAAAGGAATGCGATCTCGAATGGGCCGGGGGTTTTCTGGCGGACGGCAATTTTGGATCCTCCTTTTTTTGGGGGGTCTTGTGTTCTTAATTTTGTCTAATGCACTTCACAATGAAGTTGCCATTTCGGAAGGGGAAATTCGATTGAGATTTGTAATAGGAAAAGTGGTTATCAGTCTGCCGGGAAAGTAATGAGCACTCTGTCGCATGGAAAATGGCATCGCCGCCGGGAAAATGAATTTTCTTGGGATAAAATCAAATTCTATTCAGCGGCAACGACTCATTATTTTTCCGACAAACTGGTCTCGTTGATCCCTTTGGAATATTCATTAGTTTCTTTTCTAATCGTTTTTGGGATGGTTTAAGGAGACAGTATTCCGATTGCAACTACCTGAATTTGATGAAATTTTTTTACGTGAAGTTCAAACCGGTGATAAATTAGTTTGTAAGGCTTTTAATTTTTGCTCTGCAAAGCTTAGAAAGCTATAGTTGAGGACGTGATTCAGTGGCAAAAAACGTGCAATTTTACATCTGGGAAGTACCAAAAATGTGGCAAAATGCCTCCCCCTCCAAGTGAAAAAACCTCGTTTTGAAGGGCGCCCTTTTCCTTCACAAAAAGAGCTGGCACGCTTTTGAAACCTGGGTTTTCTCACTTGGAGAGGGAGGTATTTTGCCACATTTTTAATGCTTCCTGGATGCAAAGTGGTACGTTTTTTGCCACTTGATCAGGTCCCCCACTGTATGTGCGATTCTACTATAATATTTCCCGGTATTCGAGATGCAAGAAAAATCGACCACTGGCACTTTGCATGAGTCTGTTGCGAAAATAATGAGCTCTGTCGCAACCGCACCACCGTTGAGAAAATGAATGTTGTCGCGGCAAAATCGAACTGCTTTTCACTTCAGCAAGATGGTACATAGCGATACAGCGTTTATTATTTTCCCGACGGACTTTTAGAAAAATTCCCAATTTCGGGCCTTTTTTGAAGTTATTCGCATTGAAGATCTAATTAAAAGCATGAATAGCTGAAAACCGACCGCAAATGGAACTTTTCTCGAGGATAGACCGGCCAATTAGAAGATATGGTTAGCAAAAACAAAGCAATTTTATTTTCCTCAATTCCCGTTTTGCCCAATCGACAGCGTTCCCTTGAAAGTTATCAGTTTGTCGAGAAAATAATGAGCAAAATGTCGCTGTAAAAAAAAATTAATTTTGTCGCGAAACCATTCATTTTTCCGGCAGCGATGCGAATTTTCGCTGCGACAGAGTGCTCATTATTTTCCCGACAAACTGATATGTTTTAATCTTAAAAAAAAATGATGTGTTGAACAGGCCTCTGTACAATTTTAAATTCCAAAAAACGCTCATTAAAACCCTTGTGCGAAAACACAAAAAGCAAAACATGTGCGGTCTTATTATGTCAACTTTAATAGGCATCCTATTATTTCAAACATCCTTTGAACTTCGGGCAGCCGTCGTTTCACGGTATTCGCGCGTTTCCTGCATACGAGATGCTGGCTTGTTTGGGGCTTTTGTTCCCTTCGGAGCTTGGCAAGTTTCACTTAATGTCGATGTAAACAGGGGTCTATTCAGAAGTTTGGCGTACTTCATTTCTAAAAAAAGCTTGGCATGGAAGGCAAGGGCATCGGAGATCGGCTGTTTGTATAGCGCTGCGTTGCTTTTGAAGCTGTAAAAGAGAGGTTGTCAATGGATTTAGAAAGATGAACTTCTTGGAGACTATTCTCTTTTTTTATATACTGTTTTCTTGAGTTGGTGTTGCTGGAGATGTAGCACGGCAACCCAGAGAGTCTCCCGTTTTCTTTCGGTAACTAGCCTACCTATTATCGATTGAATTTACTCGAAATACCATAACCCAATTTTTGTATGGTTTTTTCAACCGAAAAATATGTTCCTCCGAATTACAGGGTGTCCCAAAAAATGCATGTTTTTCCATGGGTCCTGACGCGATAATGTTTAGGTCAGGCCAAAAGATTCCAAAAGATTTTTGTACCGCTAAAACCTCCGTGTTTTTTTGTCCTAGACATTTCAGTTTTGTGTTCATATCTACAGGGTGATTCAAAAAAAATGGACAACTTTTGAAGTTGGTGTATCCCACCACGAATGCCGCAGTCGGTGGAAAGAAAAATAGTTTTACAATCGTCAACGATCCTGCTTCATGAAACCTATTTCAATTTTTTAAATATTTTTGCTGAACGGCTTGTACGAGCCAAAATACTAGGTCAGCCCATATTTTGACCAAATTTTCCAAAAAATTTGTAGGTCCAAAAATCTTTAACGGCTGGAATTCTTGCAGCCAGCTAAAAACTGCGTGTTGACTGTTTATTAAGATACTAAGGGGAATCTAGAGAAGCGAAAACGCTGAGATTATTCTATTAATAACGCTCCAACAGTTCGCAACGTGATCCACAAGAGACTTATCCGCATAGTTCTGGATTTTTGGGATGATCGGGTTTCAAAACTTAGTAGGGCGGCCTGGCTGGCGCTAATAACGGCAAAAAGTGATTCCTGTAAGACATATAACATTGCTTTACATGGGTCAGCAGTTGATTTGATTGTAGATTTCATTAGCCATGTACTGCGCTTATAAAAGTTTAGCCGGCTCTACCCAGAGACGCCGATATTTTTTGGCCAGAAAAATTTTACTTTTTCGTTGGCTTTCTTCAACAAGCCGCACAACTATGACAAGCTGCATTTATACGATAGTGATATAAGTCCGTTCTTCAATTTTAAATTGGTCTCCGTTAATTTGAACAAACCTAGCCTTCAGAATCCGCGTATCTTTGCGATGACCCATCAAAAAGTAAAAAAAGTCGAAATTTTGTTTGCAGTTTTGCGAATTAAAGGGTACTGTTGTGAAAAGTGCGTTTAATATACTCACAATAGAGCAGCAAACGTGGTAAAAATGGAATTGGTTCAAAAACTTTGACCGCGTTCGGCAGAGCTAAGTTTTTGTAGAACCGCCCAAATGAGCGTTGATTTTCCCTCGCTGGTTGTCTAACTTTTGGCCTCTGATTTTTCATTGTCTGAAAGACCTGGATTAAATCCTTATAAGGTCTTAGAGACGAGGTGTCTGTGTTTCGCTGAGGCCGCTCAGAACGTCTCTGTTACACCCTTAAGACATTTAGGAACGAAAACTTTCCAAATTTCGCCGCGGGAATGTGTGCGCTGACCCGGCAACCTTTAAGCAACCATATGTCGGCAACTTTTGCAGCTAGTGAACAATTTTTGCAATGAATATGTACACATAACATAGTAGTTTCATGCCATGTGTACCTTTTTCCGAAAAACATTCAAAGCCAAGAGAAATCGAAGAAAGAAAAGTGTCCATTTTTTTTGAATCACCCTGTATTAACTAACATGGTTTTTTTAAATGTCAAACAAAGGAACTGCGATTTTGTCACTATTTCTGAGCAGTTCAAGCTGTTGATTTGCTCGGTATAGAAAGGAAGTTGTGTCAAAAGTAATATGGGAAATCTTGTTGGACTGCTGTTTGCCCAAATCACGATTTTCTGGCATGTAATCAGCTTCCCGCATTCTCTGTTCAATTTTTGATGACATTTAAAGCAACGGTGTTTCTAGGAATGAAATTAACCGAAGCGCGCCGCTCGAAATTTATTTTTTCTGTTAATTTTACTCTATGAGAACTCTGTCTTGTTGTTTTGCTTTTTACTTCCATTTCTATACATGTACATACATTTCGTGCACCAAATCTCCTTCCTTTCCCTAATCGATTTCTCATCAAAATAGGGAACATCCTCCGTTCCAATTCGTTTATGTTTTTTTATACGGAATCCCATTCCGTCGGCGGCGAAAACACAGTGATTACTTGTTGTTTTAGGGTCTTGACTCTTTTCCTCTACAATTTTTTCTGTTTGGAATGACGAAATGACACAGCGCGGGACATGCTCTATTCAGTTCAGGTAAGCTGAAGATTGTAGGTGTGGAATCAGCACCGTATGGTATATCAGCACAAGTTTTATATTTTTTCGTGCACCTCTCCTCCTGCAGTGAGCCTCCCTCTAATTAAACTGTTTAGATTTTTCAGTCCGTCTTTCTCGAATTACTCCTTACAATGGTCAATTCGAGTCCGACCGCTCCGATGAGCATGTTGCCGGAGCGCGAGTTCGGCGGGCTTAAGGCGCCCGAAACGACGACGGATATCTACGACTCGCCAATGTGCTCCGATCAGGATGCGAATGAGAAGCCGCAGGATCTGGCACTTCTTTTGATGAGGAATTATTCAAGGCAAGCGGTGTTTTCTAACTCAAAACAGCTCGAAAATCCCTAAAGCGAAGTTGTTATGACCCCTCCAAATTTGATGAGGTCAGAAAGCAGCAAAAACAACCTTCGCCAAAGCTTTTTTCGATACCAACATGACCTTTTATGAATACAGATTGAGATGAAAGACCTTAAAGTTGAACTCCCGCTTAGACATTTTTGCCTAGCACGTATTTATATATGGCAGTTAGGCCAGAAACCAGGAAGGAATTTGGGAGAAAATAGTAAATTGTATTTCCGCTCGTCTGTCAATGAAAGAATAAACCCAACAGCGCATTCATCACAACAAAACGGGGAGATGTTAATCATTGGTCCTCACGGTTATTTTTTGCATCAGATGTGTTAAGATTGTGCAAGGAAATTGCTCAAGGCGCAATTTTTTGACCTTTTTCGCAGTCTCCGGGCGTCTTTCGTTCAGGCGTTTGACTAACAGGGGAGATACCCCAAATGCAACGCTCAGATTTTGATGAAACTCTGCACAAATTTTGATTAACTGTTACTAATCTATATGCGAGTTTAATATCACGCGCTCTGCAGAAATTATCGAGATTTTGAGCTCGAAAGTTGGCAAAAAAATTAAGGTTTTTTGCGAATTTTGAAATAAAAAGTTGTATGCTTGGAAACATTATCTTGCCGTTGAGGATAATGTTTTCACAACACAAGTTTTTCCTGCGCGGAGATGGCAAAAATAAGGTCAAAAAGTGTTCGTGTGACCGCTCTCCGTGTTCTGCGTACTGTCTCGGCCAAAAAGATCGTTGAATATCTCGGCTTCCCCAGCAGAGGGCGAGCTAAAATTTTAAAGGACTGATATGTGGTCTCTTCTCAAGCTGTCCGCAAAATGTGGCGAAAATCTGAGCCTTGCATTTGGGGTACCTTCCTCGCATTTCATGCATGTTTTTGATTGCTTTCTGAGGCGCCGAGAAAGTGGTCAAAACATTTGAAGCCTGTCGGCAAAATAGAAAATGAAAAGAGGTTCTCCCAAGGAGCACTAAAACTTATTGGTCGCACATTGAGCCTTTTGAATTCAACTCAAATTATCTCTCTTTATACGGGTGCAGGTGCCCTATATCGGAAAAAAAACGTGTCAACGATTATCGCAGACAAAAGCTATAATTGCCAAGCAAAATATAAACGTTTTCCGCAGTCTCCTCAGTCCATCCAGCAGGGGATTTTTTAATTTTTAAGTCTCCAAAATCGACAACGCTGTCTTTGGAAATAAAAGCCGAAAAAACATGTCAAAAATTTCAGGAACGCATTGCCAGACAAGACGCCGGTGAATGTGATCGTGGAGATCACAATTCAAGACATTTCAGACATTTCCGCAATCACGGGTACCTTTGTAATCGACTTTTGGATATCGGCCATTTGGCAGGACAGTCGGCTGCAGTTCAGCCACTTGGATCCGTGCCGCCGCAACTTGTCGCTGGATCACGACATGGAGCCCAAGCTTTGGAGTCCGAATGTTTGTATTGTCAACTCCAAGGCGACAAAAGTTCATGACTCGCCGAAGCCGAATATTTTGTTAATGGTAGGGGAGAGAAGTGAGGTCCGCCTTCATTAGTCTGATGGTCAAAAAAGCGATCAAAAGTCTCCGCCGAATACGCGGCATTCCACGTTGGCGTAGGAAAAAATATTTTTAGGCAAAAAACCGCCCATATCCTTCTTTCTACTGCAAAAAAAAATTTTATGGATATCATGGCTGAGCGCCGAGAAATCGACGAAAACTTTCCGGGGAATTTCTTGAAACATCTTGTATAAGAATTTTTTCTGACAAGGGAAGTATTCCAAGTGCGACGCTCAAATTTTGATCAAACTTGACACAGGTCAAGAACGTTTTTTTACAGATCCGAAGCTCCTAGCTCTCGCTTGGAAGAAACTACCGGGATTTTTAGGTCCAAAGTCGGCCAAAATAGGACATTTTTTGTCATTTTGGGTCAAAAATTGACCCGATTTTGAAAAATCGATGAAAATCCTATGGTGGTCCGATTCGGACAGTTATTGTATGTAACAGTAGAAGGACTTCTATACTTTAATTTTGGTTTAGTTTCTAATTTACAGCTCGTAAAAACTTTTTGTAAGACTTCTGTGGGCACTTTTTAGGGCATTTTTTGTCATAAGTCCCAGATAACGTTTTGATAAGCTGAACCACTGTTATATTGTTGTTCACTAAGGTACCCTTCATTTCCTCTAGCATATGCTTTCTTGTCCGGAAAGAGTTATACGTGCTGTCAATGATTTTTCAATTTTCAGATATTCCCCAACGGGACGACTTGGTTAAATTATCGGATAAGATCAGAAGGTAACGTAATCTCCCATTATTTATACAGTGGCAGGTCTGATCCATTGACAAAAAACGTACCGTTTTGGATCCGGGAAGTGTCAAAAATGCAGCAAAATAACTCCCTCACCTAGTGAAAAAGACGAAGTTTTTTCACTTGGGAAGGAAGCATTTTGCCACATTTTTGATACTTCCGGATGCAAAATTATACGTTTTTTACCAATTTGATCAGGTCCTTCACTGTATCCTACTGCTATTTTTAACTACCTTTCTCCACATTATTCGCCATATTTCAGCCCCATGCGCAATGGAGCTCCGCAATTTCCCGCTGGACAGCATCAAATGCGAGCTCGTTTTCGAGTCCTACAGTTACAACGCGGCCGAAGTGACGTTGGACTGGCTGCAATGGTCGCCGGTGAGCACAGTCAAGGAGGAGTTCAATTTGCCGGACTTTAAGCTCACCAACATCACACATCACAAGTCAACGGAGGTAAGGAAGGCTGCAAGTTTGACAAACGAAATTCTACAGTGGGGGATCTGATCCAGTGGCAAAAAATGTGCCATTTTCCATCCGGAAACTATCAAAAATGTGGCAAAATACATCCCTCTCCAAGTGAAAAAACTCCGATTTTAAAAGCTCTTTTTGTGAGGAAAAAGGACGCGCCCTTCAAAACTAAGCTTTTTCACTTGGAGAGGGAAGCATTTTGCCACATTTCAGATACTCCCCGGATACAAAATGGCACGTTTTTTGCCACTGGATCAGGCCCTCCCACTGTATATTACGCAATAAAAATGCGAATAGCGTCGACTTGCCTATTTTGCAGATGTACACAGCCGGAATATGGCATCGACTCTTCGTGAACATCTATTTTGATCGGCTCTTCGGGTTCTACATTTTGCAAGTAAGCAGAGTCATGACATCTGAGGGAATCCCTTGATTTAGATGTATCTCCCCACTTACATCAGCGTCTTCATCTCGTGGATCGCGTTTTGGATGGACACACGCGCTCTGCCCGCCAGAATCACACTGTCCGTCTCCAGTCTGATGGCGTTGACATTTCAGTTCGGAAACATTGTGAGATCGCTGCCTAAAGCCAGCTATGTGAAGGCGATTGACTTGTGGGTAAGCGGTTTTTTCTCTTGTAGAGAATACGCTAAAAAAACTCTTTTTTTACGACAAATATTAGGTTGATGCATAATTATCCGGCGTTTTTCCAAAAAATTGAGCGATCGGCTTTGTTGTTGTCGGAGAATTCGTGAGGAACCCATCCAGCCAATTTCCATACCTTCCCAAGCTTTAATAATAAGACTACATTTTTGCAGATGTTCGGTTGTGTCGGGTTCATCTTCCTGTCCCTGGTGGAGCTAGCGATTGTTGCCTATAACGACAAAATGGAGGATCAGAGAGCAAGAACTCGACGACTCTCGAGTCTGGCGCCAATGTTGGCGCGGAATTCGGGCTCAGGGACGGCGGATATGTTGCGACTACGGGAGCTGCGACGGTAGGTCACGAGGTTCACTGGTTGCCGAGTCCTGGTCAACCATTGCCTAGCTAGAGAGAAAAGCTTTGTTATAAAGGAACGTCAAAAAATGTGTTTTTTCGCGGATTTAGTCTATTTATTATAGTACGGGATTCTTGGCTCGAGCTTTGCAGCAACAACTTATCAGCCTGTCGGGAAAATAATGAGCACTTTGCCGCATCCAAAATCGCATCGCTGTCGAGAAAATTGAATTGTATCGCGGCAAAATCAAGCTTATTTTCACTTCAGCGACGCGATTGGCACTGCCACATTGTGCTCATTATTTTCCCGACAAATTGATATTTTGGTAAAAAGGTGAAGATGGTAAGACTTGGACACTTTTTCGGGCAAACAGAACCGAAAAATTTCCATGGCTCTTCTTAATAGACAAGAAAATTTTTCTCAAAAGCTACCATTTCTGCTGTGAAAAATATGTAGGCAAAATTGGACCAAAACCAGTCCCATTCTCTCTATATTTATCAGTGATCACCAATGAGTGCAAATATCAGCCTGTCGGGAAAATAATGTGGATTCGCTGCGCCTTGGAATTGCCCATCATCGCTTTGCGCGGGCTAGCCGCAGCTAGAGATTTTATGCGCGACTCGGCGAGGCAAGACATTTTCCTGCGACAAATCCACATTATTTTCCTGACAAAATGATATCTACAGCCCCTACATTGCCCTATATTCGCCTCCATTTTTTCAGCGGCGGTCTGCTCGACTACGACCCCCCGGAATACTCGACGAATCGAAAGCATCGCCATTCCGATCTCAGCTTCCGCGACGAGTCCGACGTCCCGTACGCGGACGCCTCCGACTACCGCTCCGAATACGGGAACAACAATGGGAGCAGTCCGAACCAGCTCAACATGCCCAATACCCCATTGATTCATAACGGGCCGCAAGAGAATCCGGGAAATGCGTCGCCGAACATGAATCTGCATCTACCTCCGCCGCCACGACATTTCTCGTTGAACAACAAGTGGAAGAGGGTCACCAAGAGGTCGGAACTGGGAGGAATCATCGATCGGTTCTCCAGTATTGCATTCCCAACGGTAAACGCAGCTAAATTTATAAAAAATCTCCAATTGAGAGAGTTCATTGGTTCACAGTAAATCTCAAAAAAAATCAAGTTCTATAAGTTTCAGGCCTTTGCCTTGTTCAACGCCGTCTACTGGACGTATTACCTGTCTTCCTACTCAACGTCGGGCAAGATGGCAGCGAGATAAGTCAGGGATGACAAAAAAATCTGATTACTCTTGGAACAAATGCTCGATTTTTATCTTTCAATAAATATCGATATCACTAATTGTAAGCCACAAGATCTCTTTCCATTACGGCCATGGCACTCAATGTGGCGTTTCGTCACAAATATAGAATTGTTGGAGAAAATCATTGGCCGTTTTTTCTTGGCTAGCCGGGACAAACTCTTTCTTTCTAGTCTGAATATATGTAACTTCCTAAAATTTTCTTGATTTTATCAGACCAATTTCGTCGTGCATAAATTCTTCCGAGAGAATTTTTATATCTAAAACTTTTTGGTCAACCGATAGTGCGTGAACGAAACGTCTAAACGGTCCAGTAAATGGTTGGAATGACGTGCATGGAGCCTTCGACAGTGATCCATCTCCTGTCACGATTCCGTGAAGAATTCCCCGAAATTAGCATAAACCGACGAATATTTTGATATAAATGTAATAGACCGATCGCTTTTCGGTCACTCGTTTTGTGAAATAAACCTACATATATTTCTAATTGGTTGGAAGTCCCCTTGGCACAGTGCGGTGGTGGTCCGAGCTAATTGGAGTCAATTGGCGTGAGTTCACAGTTTTTCTGCTAGACTTCTCTAGTTTTGGTCCCCGGGTTAGTAGGGGCAGTGGATACTAGGCGTAGAGGGCAAGTTAGGGGCCTCATTAGACCTCGACTACATAAGTCTTGACAATACTCTTGCATTTTTGCGTCTTTGCCTCATTTCATACATCCTTTAGACTAACCCAAACACGGAACGACGACGGATATTTACGACTCGCGAATGAGCTGCGATCAGGATGCCAGTGAGAATGAAAGACTTCCGTTGTACTACTTCCCGTAACATACTAATAAAAACAAAAGATTACATAACAAGAGAAGCTATATATAGTTGTATTTTCTGAAATATGGAGACAATTTCCAAAAATGCTTTCAAAAAACTGGGAAAACAGTTTTGACACCCATTCTTTTCTTTGAATCTTTCGCTGCATTTCGGAGATGCCCACACTTGTGGAAACCGCCAAATTTGCCGCAAGCAAAAAGCCAAATTTTTATCATACTACGTAGATTACAGGAGGAAAATTGTAATTCTAAACGGCAACTAAAATGTCCCCAATATTTTTGTAGCGGATATATAAATTCCTTTTACTTTCCTACTTGTTGGCTAAAGAATTAGTTTGTCCTAAGCTTCCAGACAGTGCATACGACGTCTTCCACAAACTCAATTGTCAATTGGTTTCGCCCAAGAAGTCGGATGTCCATCCCACATTCTTTGATGTCTGATTCATGCCCTTTGGTCGATTCATCTTTCAAAAATCAAAACAAAATCCCATCCATTGAATAAATCCGATAAAGGCGGTGGCGATCGATCAGTTTCCGCCGGAGGCCACCGGCCCCCGATTATAAAAACATTTGTTTTGGCGGGTGTAAACGCGGGTCTTTAGTCTTTGGGCCATTTTTCTTTTCCAAATCGCCGTTTAATTAGCGAGTTATTTATGAGCGGCGGCGGGGAAATTTACGATCATTTGCTTGGCATTTATTGCAAAATATGGCAATTTTATGGGGTCAGGCCGGAGGGGTTAGCGGTCGCCTCGGTGTGGGAGAAATGGCTAGAAAAACCGTAATGGAACCCTAAGGGGCCTAATTTTCAGCAAAAAGTTTAAATCTCTCTGAATTTGATTGTAAAATTAAAATCGAGACATTGGGGATACCATTTACCGTATTCGAAAATAACTCCTCTTTGTCTGCACGGCAAACTTTGATTTTGCGCATAATGATTTTAGGCTAGAGACAGTGGAAGAGGGCATTCAAGACCTTGCACGAGGGTCAGGTCTTGATGAAATTGGGGACAAGTTTAGCTGGCCATTTGCAGCAATAACCTGCAGAACGCTTGTTGGTATAGTATGCATAGGGCAAAGGTTCCACAAAAACTGATTTGTCTCGGTATAAAACTAGCATAGAAGTGTTCAAAAAGAGTTTTTTCTTCGACCGGTTTGACCTACTCTCTCGGCCAAGAAGAGCTTAAAATATCTCAGCGGTCCCTGCAAAACGAGACCTAAAACCTTCGGGAATTTTTGCTTGCTATGCTCCGTATGTGTCCAAAGTTGAATGAAGATCTAATCTGAGTGTCGAACTTAGTTTTATCCGCTTTGACTCGATTCACCTCCGTTGACTTCGTTGATTCCAGTTTACAAAAAAAGACAGAGTTGCAAAAAGCCTGTTGAACGGAGGTTTTTCAAATGCACTTTGACAGGTCGAACTTATCGAAACGTCTTGTCTTTTTTGACACCACTTTACTAGCGGCTACTTTATTGTGTTGTAAGCGTTTTTTTGACGATTGAAAAAAGTTACTATTTGAGCAAAAAATTTGGATTCTAGATGTGTAGAAAGTCTGTACAGGTGGCCATAAATAACTCTAATTATTGATAATTCTTCTCAATAAAATACCATGCCAACTTCTTGTAAAACACTTACATACGCTGTGCTATGGTCGGATGTAAGCATTTTACAGGCAGTTAAAAGGTTTACATGTTTCTTGTTAACAGTAGCTTGAGGGGAATTCCACTTCTAAAGGGTTGGAAAAATCTTGATTGTGATTTTTATAGTAGGTCTATTGAAATATTGGCCCAAACCATACAAGCACAGCAGAGGTATTTGAAAATTCCTTTCGCGAAAACCGAATTGCTTTTTAACGCTTCAGCGACGCATTCGGAAAATTGAAATTATGCTCATTGTTTTTCCGACAGACTGATAGAAAATGCTGTGTAGATCTTAGAAAGTACCGGTAAGAACGCTTGCAAATTTTCATCAAGATTTGTAAAAAGGACTTGGAGTACTCTCTTACAAGTGTAATATGATTTTTCCTCCTTATTTGCAAGATTTTCTTGATTGTTCATTGCAAGTCTTGATGCGAATTTATGGCTGCTTTGACTCTTGCTCCTTCTTCTTTATACAGTACCTTTATCCATTCATTTGACAATCGCCGAACCGTGAAAAAAGCTCTCTTAAAATAACCATCTTACCGCAACCGTTTCAAGTCTTTGTCCCTTCCGGATTGCATTCCTCACATCCCCTCTCATCCACCTTCATAATTTTGATTGTCAGTTGGGAAAAAAGTTGGGGGGCGAAACGTTTGGAGCGGGGTGTGGAAAACTGAGACCCTGCCCCGCATCGCCCCCCACCCCACCCCACCGGAAGGGGGGTGAGAAAAAACGCCGGGGACGAAGCCAAGCCGGCGCTCGGATTCGCTGTTGGCGTTTTTTGACGAGCCGGACATTCGAGCGGGTTGACAGCAGCGCACGCACTTCATAACACCCCCCGAGGCCTCGATCAGTGTCGACTCGCGATTTGGCTGCGATTTTTTCGAGGAATCCGAAAATATTCTTTTTTTTCGAAAATTTGATGACGGGAAAGGGGAATTGGATTACTTTCCTTATAGGTTTATTTATTGTTTTTCGCGAATGACTTTCGCTTTTCAAGTTTGGGTTTGGCATTGTGGACGAAATTCAAGACCTCTTGAGCCATTGAACTCGAGCGTTTTTGCAAAAGTAACGTTCGCTCTTGACACTTTGGTAACCAATATACTTTGAGAGTTCAGATCATGAGGCAACGAATTTTTAACTTTAGATAGCTCGACAGGAATTAAGATAGGTGGACTGACAATGGCTGGGGTCTGATAAGAGTTAAATACCTCTAAGCTTGCGCTTTGTTGAGACAGCTGCAATTTTTATCGCCTGTCGGGAAAATAATAAGCACAATGTCGTTGTCGTGTCGCTGAAGTGAAAAGCAGTTTGATATGGTTGCAACACAGTTCATTTTCCTGGCGGTGATGCGGTTTTTGATGCAACAAAGTGCTCATTATTTTCCCGACAGACTGATAAATGTTTTGTCTTTAAACTTTACATGCTCATTGTCCCATATGAATTCACTAAAATTTTACGTCGTGCTTTGCAACACAATTCATTAGCGATTCGATCTGATGCGACAGGATGCTTATTATTTTCCCGACAGACTGATAGCTCAGAAATTGCAAAATTTTTGACACTTTTTTGTAAATTTTTGCATGAAAAGTTTGAATCCCTTTTCCAGGGTAGAGAGTAATATTCCCACCAAAAAACTGATTTTCTCCGCATTGAACTGGCAAAGATTTTTTCAAAAAAATGCTTTCTCTCTGACGCTCTCCCCGTTATTCGTACACTGCAGGCGGCAAAGCTCGTTGAAAATCTCAGTTGCCCCTGTAAAGCGCGAGTCAAAACTTTCAGTAATTAATATTAGGTCTATGGCCAAAAATTTTAGCGACGAATCTTTCGTATTTTTCTTGTAAATTTCACAGGGAAATTACTTTTATATAGGCATATACTTTTTCATGGGACATATCTCAAAAAATACGTAAAATCAAGCGGATTAAGAATGCGTAGTTATTATAATATTCTAATTGCCCAATTTCGGGTTTCAGTCAATTTTACTTTACTTTCTTTTTCTACTATTATTTATTATATTTCCTTCTCAAAACTCGATCAAGACGACAATTTTCCTCTCAAATTAGCTGACTGTCAAATAATTTTTTCTGTTTTTCTCCAATTTCCTGCTCAAACAACAAGTCGTATTTACCACCTCTTGTAGCGTTAACCTTTAATTTTACAAGAAAGGAAACTGCCGACCTTTTTTGACCTTATCTTGGACCATCATCTTTTCTCCGAGTCACTTTTTCTTACAGTGAAAGGCCGAATCTTTATCAATCAAACTGGTTAGCAGCTCAAAAACCGTTGGCCGGCTTTCTGGCCAATCCCCAAAACTCGATCCATCATACATTCTCGGTCCAAATATTTGCCGTTTGCAATGATCACTTGATTAAAGTGCGTATTTTCGGCTGAAAAACCACTTTTTAACAGCAAAATCGTTTTTTTCGACGTTTTATCCCAATTACATATTACTTTACACTTTCCGGGCCAAAAAGGAACTTTTTGTTTTTTCACATATTGCGCAATTCCCCCGAGGGCTTAAGGAAACTAACTACTCCCGGCGCTTGTTGAGTATGTCTGTTTCGCACGCTCGAGATGTCCCGTTTGCCGCGGGTATTGTTAACGAACCCGTTTCATTCTTGGTTTGTCGTTTTGCGTATACGACTTGTTTTTTGATGTCATTGGCATTTCGACTTTTGCAGCACATGACAAGATGAGCGGGACCTTGCACGCCAAAGTCGACTTCTTTGCCAGTGGAACGTTCGGGACTGTCAGTAAGTTTACGGAGAAGAGGTTTTTGATGTGAAAAAAGTTTACATATACAGTGGGCCTTTCTATGTGCATTTACAGCGCACTGCGGCGCAAGAAAACCTTTTTACAACAAACGATTTTTGAGGTCCACAAATTTGCTTTACAAGTATTGGGACCCCAAGCAAAACGATCAGTTTTTCTTTTAGTTTTGCACACGCTTTGGGCATGAACCACTTATAAATAAATACCCTCGTCGCGCCTCGGAATCGCTCATCATCGCTTTGCGACTGCAAGCCGCGACTTGTGATTTGGTGCGCGATAGCGGCGAGGCGAGACATTTTGCTGCGACGATCCGCCGTTATTTTTCCGACAGACTGATACCTGAAAGTTTTGGCTTGGGCTCCGCAGGCACAGCCGAAATATTCAACGATCTTTGCAGGAGAAAGGTTATGTCAAAGAAGAAAGCACTTTTTGGCCTCTCTTTGTCAAAGATTGCTTTCTTTTGTAGAAAAATCATCATTATGGTAAAAATAAGAGTCAAAAATGTTTTACTTGATTGAACAAAATGTCATAAAAGAATTTTTCGTGAGATTTTCCGACCGAAAAAAACTTTTCTCGAAATTATTTTATTTGTTTTGTCAATTCGTTTGGACGAAACTTATGGGCGAGAAACACTTTTCTTCTAATTCGGGTTGCCGTTTGAAATATGGCGTTTTTCTCTCTGACCGCTCTCCCCATTTCACGTACTCGTTGGTAAAGATCGCTCAATAGCTCGGCTGCAAAGCTCGAGCTAAGACTTTCCCCTGAAAAACGCTTGTCTACAAAAACGATCACTTTCAGCCAGTCTTCGAACATACGAGGACTCGGTTTGTAATCGGCGAGCTGAGACAATTACCCTAACACTACGGCTAATTGGCGCTCCAACTTATGGGTTGTCGCTTCGGCAGGCCTGTTCGTCCACTTCAACCTCAAATGCAAATTGCCAATGTTCAGCGATTCTTGTGGACTCAATTCAGCCCAATTCACCGGCTTCACAGTGAGTTTACTTCCTCACTAGGCCGTGCCAATCAATACATTTCCAAGTTATAAATATGTTCTAAGTGTTTGACACAAAAGCCTTTGTTACCTATTGCAGTGTTGGGCTTATATTGCCGGGCGATCGGATTTTATCCATGAACGACCAGCCTACATTTGGGATGAGTGTCGACCAAGCGTACTCGATTTTGGACGACTCACATTGCCAAGTCAAGTTGACCATTGAGTTTGATGTCTATGGTAAGAGCCGTAGAGCTCATTATAAAGAGCGCTTTGCTTTAGAGACCTGTCCACTGGTCCAAGGGACGATCACTGTCCGACTGATCAAACATACGAACCATCTTGGGCTGGAGTTCACAACCGGTCTGAACAAGAAAGAGGAGAAAATTGTGGTCAAGTCCGTGCAGAAAGGATCGCTGTCGTACAGGTGAGATTTACAGGAGAAAGCTGCAAATGCGACGCTGAGATTTTGATAAAAATTTGAAATATTTTTGACATAATTTTTCTCATGGCACAGGCGAGGCTCCTAGCTCGCGCTTTGCAGAAAACCCCTTGATTTTTAGGTCAGAACTTGGATACAATTTCACGCTTTTTTCGAATTTTTATCATGAACATTTTTGTGCCTATTTCTTCTACAGAGAGTAATTTTTTTGCAGTAAATCCACATTATTTTCCCGAAAGAAAACCCAATAAAAAATTCGGTTTCTCAAACCGCCCTTTATCGCTTCAGATGCGGCGCAATAGAGCCTGGCGACGAATTCCTCTCCGTCGACGACGTTCCCTTGGACAATTGCACAGTTCAAGAGACAATTCGGCTTCTACAAACTGCCCGCGATTCCGTCAAGATTCACATTAGCAAGAGAAACGCCGTAAAAGAGAAATCTCCCACCCCGAAGGCCTCGAACTTGCACTGCTTCACCTATACCATCGAGCTGCGGCCTGGGAAACGGAGTCTAGGACTATTTTTTGACGACAAGTTGAAGGTTGCCGGAATTAAAAAAGATGGATATTGTGCAAAGTAAGTTTTTCTGTAAATACGATATATTATAATCATGTTTCAGATCCGGAGCAGTTCTTCTGGAGGACCGCCTAATGGCGATTGACGGGCAAAATGTCTCGCAATACACCCTGTTGGACGTTCAGAAAGCCCTCGACCGGCAGTACGACTCAATACGGCTGACGTTTCAGCGAGAGCGGGAGGGCACCCCAAGTGCTGCAGAGGACTTGCCGCAAAGGGGAGACCGAGCTGTAACCCCATCTACGGGAAGGTTGAACCTCATCGATATAAAGAAGATCATCAGCGACATGACATTCAGTTCGAGGGCTAAAGAGTACGTTAGAGGATTCAAAATTTATGAGCTACAGTGGCGGGCCTGATCCAGTGGCAAAAAACGTACCGTTTTGCATTCGGGAAGCCTCAAAAATGTGGCAAAATGCTTCCAAGTGAAAAAACTTCGTTTTGAGGGCGCGCACTTTCCCTCTCAAAAAAAGAGCGGGCGCGCTTTTGAAATCGGAGTTTTTTCACTTGGAGAGGGAAGCATTTTGCCACATTTTTCATACTTCTCAGATGCAAAATGGAATTTTTCCCCTGGATCAGGTCCCCCACTGTATCAAGTCGGTGTTTTGACAGAAAAATTTCATTCAGAATTGGTGTTCAAATTGCTCTAGCTACTCAGTTTTTTTTCTTTTTTCCAAAAGCGAACGAAAAATACTGTTCTATAATAATATTATTATACCATTTTAATTACACAATTACACGGTTAGCATCTCTACTCAAAGTAGAGATGCTAATATTTTTATGGCACTTGGCGCAGATTTCAAATATAATGTTTAATTTGAAGACACATGCGTGACACATACAGTGGCGGACCTGATCCAATGGCAAAAGACGTACCATTTTGCGTCCAGGAAGCATCAAAAAATGTGGCAAAATACCTCCCTCTCCAAGTAAAAAAACTCCGATTTCAAACGCGCGCCTGATCTTTTTGTGAGGGAAAGGGCGCGCTGTTCAAAACGGGGTTTTTCCAGTTGGCGAGGCATTTTTCTACATTTTTTGATACTTCCCGGATGCAAAATGGTAAGTTTTTTGCCACTGGACCAGGTTCGTTACTGTACAGTTATTTCTGCCGTTTGTTTTTTCTGCCGTTGACCTGAAAAGTCGCAGGGCAAATATATTGGGATCTCAACTGTAGTTTACGCTTTGCAGAAACGCCCGAGGGCACTTTGGGTACTTCCCTTGTTAGTATTCATTCTATGAACCGTGTAAGGGGTCTTTGGCCAGTTTGCTTTGTAAAGCCGAGAACCAATCTTTGAAGTGAATCCATAACCTTCGGGCACATTCCTAATTTTTGCAAGACCTGAGAGATCGGAACGTCACATTTTTGTTCGGTTCCCTCGTCAAACCCGGGCTTAAAAATCATTGACCTCTTCGTACAAACCGGCTGCAAGATGAGCAATGAGTTCCTCTTTTTTTCAGGCTGCAAGCGCTCAAAGCCTTCGAAGAGACGGAGGACAAACTCATAAGCGGCCGATTGCCTCAACTAAAACGCGACGCCAACCACGACCAGTTGCGGACCATTCAGCAACGACTGAGGTAGGGGTTCGGCCAAAAAAATACGCGTATTTTAGCAGTGGTTCTTTCTCATCATCGGGCTTTGGCTCCGTGGTTTCGTCGCAGCCGTCGGCGCCGGAAACTCCCTCGTATCCGTCGCCATTCTCGGGCCTCCCAATTGCTCCGACCTCAATTTTCTCGAACACAAAGAATGTGTTGTTGCTGCGCGACCTGGACCAGCCCGGATTCGGCTTCAGTATCACCGAGAATGAGCAGCATGAGATCATTGTGAATGCCGTGAAGCCGGGAGGAGTGGCGGAGGCCAACGATGTGAGGGCGATGGATAAGATTATCGAGGTGAATAATGTCCAAACGGCCGGGATGACTTGCGCAGAATTGTTGCCATTGTTCAACACTGACATCCTGGAGCTCATATTGCTACCGGCTGAGCAGGTTTTGTAGAAAAAATTAGTTTAAATGGGCAAAAAATAATAATTATGCATATTATATTGTTGTATGTACAGAGAATTAATATTAATAAGGTAAATACCATCCAAATAGCCGTTGAATTATAATAAAAAGATACCAAATTGAAACGTTATTTACAGTAAGCCAAAATATACAAATATTGGGCGTCAAAAAATCCCGAAAATTTCCGTTCTACACGACTGTAGCAGGTCTTGAGGCGAGATATTTCTTCAGCTTGGGCATTGCGTATATCCGATTAATATACGCGCTTAAATCTCCATAATGGTCGAATGACTGAGGCGAGAGTGCTCTCACAGTGAATAGAAGATCTGCCAAGTAGAAATCCGGGTAAGTGAGACGCTTTCCCGCTATGAACGTCCCTTGATTTTCATTCAAAAACTTGCGGAAAATCGGGAAAAATCGATCCACGGCGGGCTCCAAAATCTCTTTTTGAGCTGTTTTCTAAATTTCGAAAATGAGAAATAAGACACTCTGGTAGAACTTGCCTCATCTCCTGCTCGAAACTTGGCCACGATCTCGATAAACTCCGCGATTTGGTCGTCAAAGTCGAGTATAACATCGCAGGCCTCGTCGGCTCGAGCTTGGTCAAAAACGGTGGCTCCGGACAACCCTGAGAAAAATGTGTTGATACGTAGAGAAAAAAGTCAAGTCAAAAAGCGCTAGCATTAAAATGTCTATAGAGAAGAAACTCGCCTACCAAATCGTCTGGCCAGAAACCTCATAATTGCGGTGCTCTGGACAATTTTATTGTTATCCACTTCCAGCATTGGCAACCTACCAAACGGAACAGCTGAAAGACGTTGATAATGTGGGGAATAAAGGGCTACATCTACTTATGTTTGAGTTTTTTAAGGCCTGACTAAATTAAGAGGGGATGTACTAAAACGCATAGATTTTTATGAAACTTGGCACAAATTTAGAATAACTTTCTCCAAGACATTTGCGAGACCTCTAGCTCGAGTTCTCCCTTCCAAAGATTATTTTCTAGAGGGCCCTAATCCAGTGGCAAAAACGTATCATTTTGCGTACGGGAAGTATCAAAAATGTGGCAAAATGCCTCCCTCTCCACTGTAAATGACTTGTTCCATAAGCCCCTTTTATCGTTTTGACTGCAAACTTAACTTACTCGGTTTTACACTTGTCCACTTCTCCAGGTCATATCGGATGTCCTCAAACTTCGTCCCATTATAATGGAACATCAGCCTGATAGCCTCGGCACGGTGCCGCGCCGCGAAATAGTGGAGTTTGTAGACAACCATAGCAGTTGATATGCAAAAAACCTTCGACAGGCGTTTTCAAATGCTGGCGAAAGTCCCCGCTTTGGAGGTTGCTGTGAGACCGAAGACACAGGGGATAACTGTTGTCATGTCATCCGTTCGCAGCGACTTTAAGCGCTCAAGACTTTGTATTTAGCGGCCATGGGGTGTTTACGCGCTCCAGGCGTTATTATCAAAATTAACGGAGGCCTTTAGTTTTCCAAGGGATACATAATCCATCGCCAAATTTATTGCTAATCACAATATTTTACAATAAAGCTCGAAAGAGGATAAAAAATATAGGAGTTTGTACCAAATATCGCTGAACTTGCCGTAACCAAAGGTAACCCCACTAGCGCAATAAGGATGAACATGCTGACAAGAATAATTTGACATAGAACTGATTAAGATTTGAAAAGTTTCTCGGATAAGCTTTGGTTTATTGTTCGTCGCTTCTTCGATCCAGCCAATACGTGATGCACAGGCCTTTTCCCTGAAAAATTTAATCAGATTTTACTCACACGCTCTTCTACGATAGATAATATCCGTTGTCATCAAAAGCTCCTTTGTTGCTTACCTTAATTTCCACCTCGCCTCGCTTGGAAGTGACGAATATCGGATAGGTCGTAGTCAGTAGATGCTGTGCTTGTTGGCTGATTTGTATCATATCCGGCAAGCCGGTACTCTCCATTCTAGACGCGGTATTTACCGTATCGCCGAATAGGCAATATCGTGGAGCCGTCATTCCGACCACACCGGTCGCCACTTGGCCCGTGTGGAAGCCCCAGCGGCACTTTATGCGCTTGTCCTTGCGGTGAGGGATTTCGAAGCTCTCAAGGAACTGAAAATGATTTCTTTTTGACTACTGTGGTATGAAAATTATTTCCTTGTGACGGGAAGTATTAAAAAATGTGGCAAAATGCTTCCCTCTCCAAGTGAAAAAACTTTAGGTTTCAAAAGCTCGTCCGCTGTTTTTGTGAGGAGAAATGGCGCGCCCTTCCAAAAGAAGTATTTTCACTTGGAGAAGGAAGCATTTTGCCACATTTTTGATACTTCCCGGATGCAAAATGGTACTTTTTTTGCCACTGGATCAGGTCCCCCACTGTATTTATGTGCGTAATTTTGACTATGAAGGGGCTAGATTTTCTCTGCTATGAGCTAGCCAAACAATACAGTACCTTTCTCATATCCAACGCAATATCAGCAATATTCATGACATGCCGAGTCCCATTCTCCTCCGGAATACCGGACACCACCATATACGCATCCCCAATGGTCTCCACTTTGTAAGCTCCGTTCTTCTGGATGCACTCGTCAAACCCGCTGTAAACCCCATTCAAAAGATTCACGACCTCTAGAGGAGTGGAGCTTGAACAGAGCGTCGTGAACCCAACAATATCACTGAACATGACAGTGGCGGAAGAAAAGAGCTTCGGCGGGACGGAACGCCCGACTTTCAACTCGTTGGCCACATAGGGCGGCAGAAGCTGGTTGAGAAGTCGGTCGGCTTTGAGGTTGGCCTCTTCCAACATCCCAGTCCGCTCCTTGACGAGCTTCTCGAGATTATTGGCGTATTGTTCCATCACTCTCATCATTTGGTCAACTAAGCTTCCTTTGCTGAAAAATACAAGCTTTCAAACGACAAGACCTTGGTCACAGATGCTCTTCGATGAGTGCCTTACGTTTTCAAGCACATTTCCGTGTTCAGCCGGACCCGTCGAATGCTTGGTCGGATCTCCGGGTTACTCGACCAACAATCGATCAGAAGAGCCGCTAGATCCGGATGAATCTTCATTTCATCCTGAACAACCGGCTTGATATGTCGAGAGCCATCGGCGACCGCATCAACCAGACCATTAATGTCCGTGCCTTCGGGAAATGGCAACGATCGGAACAGAATCTCGTACATGACCATTCCGAAACTGTAGATATCTCCGCTTTGCCGGCGCGATCCGGACTGCGCGACCCATTTTTGATCCGCGGCCCGCTGTTTGTTGCTCTCTCGGTTCTTCAGCAACTCTGGGGCCATGTACAATGCGGCTATAAGAAATTACAAGACTATCAGCGGCGTCAAAAATTGCTTACAAGTCCTTTGAGCCGCCTGCGACTTGTCGTCATCGCTTTGAACGCCGGTGATCGAAATCAGCCCCTGTTTTTCCCAGCGCTCCAATGGGCTGGCAATTCCAAAGTCGGTCAGCCGCACACTCCAATTCCTATCGATGACGCATGCCCAGGGAGTCAGCGATCCATGATAGCCAATTGGTGAGAGATGCAGATACTCCAGTCCAAGAGTAATATCACGAACAAAAGCGGCGTGAAAGTTCTCATCCAACGCCATGCTCTTGTTGTAGATCAGGTCTTGCACCGTACCACGAGAGCAGAATTTCCAGACAACCAGCATCTCCTCACGCTCGTTGAAGGCCATTCCCAAGAAAGGGTTCAAGTTGTCGTGAATGGCTTGTTTCATCTGCGGAAAGAAAGAGGAGTCTAAGAATTCTCTGGATTTGGTCCCACCTGGGTTAGCAGCGCCAAGTCCTCACGCCTGAACTTGATTGGTCGACGCTGAACGTATTTGTGATACGTGGCGTGAGTGTTCACTCCAAGGATTGCGTGCTTTTTCATGCCGATGCTCAAGTTGCTCAATTTTGTGTTCGCGCTGCCAAGTGAAAGCTGGAAATTGAATTGTCGGCGTTAATCCTTATAAAAACACATCTCAGAGTGACCTAGAGTCAAATAAGCAAAAACCTACCAAACTCTTGGCCTGGTCATCGTCAATCAATCGCAAATCCTCATGCATAATTCGCCATGGCATTCGGTTCAACGCTCTGGTTTGGCAATGCCGATACAACAGGAAGATGAACAAGAAGATGACAATTAATGTCAATGCGGAGGAGCCAAATGCAATTTCCATGGTGTACGAGCATCGTTGCCCTCGGTATCCGCAGTAAGGCTCGTCAGGGGGAAGAGAACCATTCTCACTCGGCCAAAATCCGGTCATTACATCGGCCAGCTTCTGAAAAAAGCTATTTGGTAACTCATACGCCGATTCCGCATTACTATCCTTGTTATTCTAGATCACTGTTCTTGTTTAAACACAAACTGACCAAATCAAAGCATCCCGTCCGATTAGCCAGCCCATCACAGCCGGCAACCGCGTACGAAGTCATTGTAACCATTTTCATCGGCTTGTCCCTGGTTGGTGCCACGTAGAAGGCCGCGAAAACGGGCGCTCGATCCGCCAAGTCGTCCATGAGGACGGATCCGGTCGCTCCTATAGAAGAACCAATACCTGAACTGGGAGGAACAGTGTCTGTGTACTCGGCAAACTATTGTGCGACCCTGTGCTTAGTGCAGTGGGTTTTCGAACTAACGTGTGCTCACCTACCTTCAAAACTCATGCGACGCATTGCATTCCAAATAAGACGCCCGTCAGTAATCGCGGTGGCGTTGTTCCCGTTTTGAGAGAACACTTTTCGCGCAGCAAGGCCATAGAGTTTCAGGGAGTCGTAGAGATTGAGATAGCCAAAGATGTCCGACTGAAAGGGTCTGGATTTACACAGTAAGGCGATCAAAGACAGTAAAACAGTACGACTGCAAGCGTATTGAAGCCCCCGTCAGAATAGCTTATGCGCATACGAACACTCACTCTATCCAGATCATCCACGGTCAGCCCAAAGTTCCCGACGCGTTCCAGAAAGCCGTTTAGCAGGGCGTCGTCGAATCCGTTTGCGTCATCAATGATAATCGCATTCGCATAATGGTCTTTCACCTGTTGTAACATCTCGCCGGCTTTGCCAATCCACGGCGAAGCGTCTTTCGGACCATTCTGGAGCCAGGGCAGCAGATAGACGTATTCGGGATTATTCATATTCAGCTTGACAGTGGCCTGCATAAACTCGCGAGTCATGTCGCGGGTTTGGGAGAAGATACAGACAATAACTGAAAAAAATATTATGAACGTGATATCAAGGCAAAGAAGTAATAATAGAATATGGGTATGGGGTTCAAAAAAGCTCACTTCTTGCTCCACTCGACAAGTCCTGCATTTGCTGATCGCGAATCATATCTTCAGCCTTGGCATTCTCCTCGAACATGACCTTCTTCACCATCTGGATATTGCTCTTCTTGAACTCCTCCTCAAACGCTTGAACTCTATCATAAGCAAGCTGTCCAGCATTGGTCACAATCGCCACTCTCAGCCAACTGTAATGCTCCACCAGCCGAATTACCGCTCTCGCCAAAGAGTTGACATTCTTGGACGAAGTTCTGGCCAAGGTCTTATAAATCCGGCGATCAGTCGTCGCTGATGTTGTGGGCATATATGCAATGACCGGGATATTCCAGAACGCCCCCATCTTGGCTACAGCATCCAGCTCGGCGTGACAGTACGGACCAATGAAACAACGTACCCCTTCAGCATGATACATTTGCGCCGCAACGGCGACTCCCTCAAAAGCTTCTCCGCAGCCCATTCTGGATGAGATTTCAAAGTCCAGATCCGGTCCTAAGACACCTTCATCGATCAGCTGCATTCGACTAATGTTCAAAATCTTGTCTTCATTCGGCAACGCGCCAACAGCTCCAATGTGGCCAATTTTTACGATCGCTTTTCCCTTGTTGTCCACTTTGATTTCCATGGAAGGCCCCCACTTGGAGAACTCCTTTTCAGCCGCTCGTGAAGTCGCATTGGAGACTTGCCGCCTCACCCGCGCCTTGATTTGATACGCAGAAGGGAATTCTAAAAAAATTTCATATCTTCGTACTGTGCCTACCCTGCATACAGTAACATATACACAAAAGACACAAGATGTTCAGCGTCAACTTACCCTCGCTCAACGCCCTGGCAACATCATTGAAGCTCGAGAAAACGAGTAAAAACAGGAGAAAACTGGAAGAGTACCGTCTCATACTGTTCGAGCCGATACAAATGCCGACAAAGCGGCTGCGGCGACACAGGAGACATCTTCAATTATCCAAATTAGATGCCGACGGCCTAAGCCGCTTGTCGCATCGGAGCCCATGCAGGAGCGTTTTTGAAATTCCCCGAAGCCGATTAAACCGTATTCCCACTTTTGGGGATATTGTGTAGTCGACCAATCTCTTTGTTGGGACGTCAGGGCCTTCAAAACAACGGCGTGTTGTAAATTAAAGGTGGGCAGACGAAGGGTTTTACAAGATTGGGAAATTCAAGCGGATTGCCTTCGGCAGCTAAAAGTGTGGAACATCCTGCTGTACGGCGCAAGTGCCGGGCATAAAGGGCGGCCGACACTTGCGGGTAACCACTTTGCGGACAGCTCGAAGAACCACGGAGATTTTTGGACATGTTTGGAAAAAAAACATTTGCCTACAATGAATAGTCACCACAATATTATCTAGTGCACTAAAGTGTCACGATTCCGTGAGAAGTTCCCAAGAATTTGCATAAACCGACCGATAAATTGCATAAATGTAATGGACCGATCGCTTTTCGGTCAGTCTTTTGGTTTTCCCCCGGCGAGTAAACGTATCATTGTGAATTTGTTGGAAGTTCACTGTGCCCCGGTCTGGTTGTTGATCACCCCAAAGTGGAATCAATTGTTGTGAGTCTATTGCCGCTGTCTCCTATTTTAGCTAGGACTCTAGAGTTGTTGGTTAGTTGCTACTAGTCGCGCAGGCACGCTAGGGGCCTTATATACTTCGACCTATATATATAGGGTCGAGGCCTACTATATAGGCCGCGACCTAGCTATAGGTCGTGACACTAGGCATTTTTTGAAAAAAAATTCCTATAACTTTGAAATCGGTGGATGAATGCAAGAGATTCGTGGACTTATCAGTATCAGGGAGTTGTCAATGCGAAATTTCTATCACACTACGTAGATGACGGCAGAGAAATTTTAATTCCAACCGGTAAATGTCGGCTGCCCGCAGAGTGGTTGCCCGCAATTGTCGCGACGTCGACATAAATGGCAACACTGCAGGATAAAATAGCATCTGTTTTATTAACCTTCATATATATACTTATTAAGTACGTACATAGATTACATAGATTATTGTCATAAATATGCAATGAGCTTAAAGATATCAAGGAGTCAGCAAGTCAACATGGTGGAACACTTTCGAACAACTCAAAAATATTAACGGTTGGAAATACGAACAGTGTTCCCAAGGCACATCCAACCTGACTCGTGAACCCGACGTACAATAACCGACGATGCTTCACGTCGTCGGAGGGAGATCGATCACGGATTGCTTCAAATATTACACAACGGGAATAGGTGCCAAAGAAGTACACAGAGGTTGTTAGCATTATCTAAACATCACAATAAATATGTGTAAACGTAATTGAAGGTAAGCAAACATCCTGTAACGACTTACAACCAGGATACTCCCAATGGTGGTCCCAACCAGCCATGGCGTGGGACTTTTCAACGCCAACACAACACATATTGCAGATGCAGTGATTGTAATAACACTATGCATGGCCATTGTTTGCGTTTTCTTGGCCGGAGCGAGATGTGCGATAAATGCCGCGATTGGCTGCGCAATTGAGCCCAAGGCCAAGGACCAGAAATATGTGGTCTGAATAAATCATACGAAGATTTTAATGGCTAAGAAGTATGGAGAAATCCGAGGAGCCCGTTTTTTCGAAGACTGCCGCTCTTTGAATTTTCAAAATGACAAAAAATTTATTTTTTTTTTAGAAAATGAGAAGTGACATCTTATACGACGAAACTGTTTTTTTATAATTTTCGAAACAAAAGGTGACATCTTATACGATGATTTTTTTTCGTATAACATGTCACCTCCTACTTTGAAAAAATTGTAAAAAATATTAATCGTATAAAATGTCACCCTTACCTTGAAAAAGCGGGCAAAACATTTTAGCAAATACAAAAAAAACGGGATTTTTCGAAAACCGGAATCTTCTTTCCCAATCATAAGAAACGGCCGGATTGGGTCTCACCGCGAAACCATTGACACCTTTAATCTTAAAAAATTCCCTCGGCCTACATACCTGCGAATACGGTAGCACAACAAAGCTTTGAATACTCGGCAACAGCACGTTGTTTTGTCCCGAAATGAGAGTAATCAACGCCAACAACATGTAGTCAGAAGTGCCATTCCAAATACTTTTTCTTTGCGCCAGTGGCTTCGTGATTACGATGATTTTCTCATCCGTAGACGAGCGTGGAAGCGTCTGCCCTCCATACCAGAGGTTGTCAATGAAGCTGCGGCAAAAATGAATCAAAATAAATGAAAATGCTCCCAGACAACACCAGATAAAGACGATCGTGTAAAAAATCTCAACGCTAAACCGGAGATTTTCAAACTTTGGCTCCAAAACGCTGGAGTTCTTGGCGGATGGTACACAATCGTATGTGGCGGCGCCTGAACGTTGCTTTCGATTTTTTTAATAAGTTCTCTTGCCTTGTATGATGCTCAAAATGCTGGGGACGAACGAGCTCAGGCCGATTCCGAAGAAGTAGGCTTGGAAATAAACTTCCGGAAGATTCTTCATATAGGGAAGGAACAGAACGTCCGACAAGATAGCCACAGCTCCAATGAAGAACATGGCTACATACAAAACGATAGATCGTTGCTTGCCAGCCACTTCGATGCTAACTTCGTTAAAGAAGCCCATGGGAATAAACGCACAGAGGTTGACAAGTAACGCCAAAATAATCAGCGGAGCTTTCTTCATCTTCACATTGTAAGATTCTAGGATTGTGTAGACTAGCGCAACAAGCGCGGAGACCTGAAAAAATGGTCAAAAGCTAGTATCAGGATTTGGAAAACAAGTTTTTTTTTTATTTTTATAAAGAAATATATTTACCTGAATAATGATCGTCAATGTGGCTCCAAGGCTCCATCCTTCGGGCAGTTTTTGCGTGTGAATGCCTTGCTCAACCCAAAAAGCATCAGGGCCAAGCCAAGAAGTGGACCCAAACATGGCCACCAGTACGGCCAGGATAATGTTCGGGCGTCGATTGTGAACCTCGTTTTCTGCCATTCTGTCTGAAAGTCAAGGACACTCATGTTTTCTTAAAATCTTGCGCACGCGTCCAATATAGGCTTGCAATAAGTCCCTGAAAAGGTTAGGGCGCGAATTGCTGAAGCAGCTAGGATATTCAACGGTCTTATCGGTCTAGAGAGTACCCCAAACGCGGAGAGGGGTCACGGAGAAAACACTTTTTGCCATGACTTTGCCAGTTTCGCGCGAAAAGCAGTTTGCTTTCTGTGGAAGCACTATCTGCTATGGTATAAATGGCTATGAAACTTTTCTTATATGAATTCGCAAAAAATCGCATACCTCTTAATAAAAGTTTTACTAAAATTAATAAAAGTTTTACTAAAATTAATAAAAGTTTTACTAAAATTTGTGCCAAGTTTCATTGTAATCTAGGCGTCGCACGTGCTTGCTGCACTTCCTCGTTTCAATTTACAAAAAAAATCGATAGCCTTTTTGATCTCGCCTCACTGATCGCTGAATATCTCCGGCTCTCTTTTGCAATTACAACTCAAAATTTTGCGTATCTATAAAAGCTTTTTTAGGGACTTTCCAGACTTTAAGAAAGTTCAAAAAGTCATATCAACTTTGACAAATCACCTCTTTGCCTCAATTCCTCCTCATCTTTTTATATTCCTAAAATTATCCCCACAAATCAGCCGATTAAATATCATACTAAACCACATGTTTGACTTCCGTTAATACACCTACAAAACAAACTTGGAATTGTTCAAACAAACCGCCGGAAAGTTTAATATTTTTTTGTCAAAGTATGATGGATAATACAAAAATCTCGCGCACTCTTCGAAACGTTAACCCATTTTTTGCGGAAGTGGGGAAAGAGACTCATTTTCAGACGGGATAATAGGAAGCCGCAAACTATTTTCCCCATATGTTTTGCGAATTTTAATATTTATTTTGTCTGGGGGTTAATTTATAGACAGATAAAAAAATTACAAGGTCGCGTACTTGGAGGACATTTACACAATAGTAGCGCATTTCAGAACGCAAAACATAACAGTGAGGAGATCAAAACGTAACGAAATTTTGTGTGGCCTGATCATAATCATCAGGCCACAGTTATTGCCTATTGTCATCACGGATGAAATTGACAGTCTTAGATATTCTCGGCTTGGAAAAAGTTGCGGTTCTTTTCGTTGGGTAATGACTCGATTCTTTCCGGCCAAAAGAGTACGCGAAACACGGAAAGTGGCCCAGAGAAAAAGATTTTTGACCATATCTTCTTCTGCGGCGGGCTCACACTCGCGCACAATCACTTCGCAGGCATCTAGAGGAAGTACGGAGACTTTGCGGGCATCTTTGGAAATCAGCCAAAATTTGCATACCACAGGAAATTCTGACGATGAATTTGGTAGTTAGATGTTGCGGATTTAGTTTCTTGGTGTATAAATGGCTTGAATAGTTAACATAAGCTTAACGATGAATTTCTAAAGGTTCAGAAACCAGCTTTTGACAAAACAATTCCATAACTTTAAAAGCGATCTTTGCCTGCTTCATGGAGGTTTTATTTTTGTGGAAACATTACCCTCTACGGTAGAAATAAACATGAAACTTTTCATGCCAAGATCCGCAAAAACCACTCATTTTTTTCCAACTACCGTATTGATCTTAAATAGAATGCAAGGAACGGCGTTCTTGTGCCCTAAAATTCCCGTTTATGCCATTGGCATGTAAAAAAATATGGCTCAAAGTTTTCCTCGGCTTACCACCAATCATGTTAACCCAAGATTACCCCGTAAGAAAAGACAAAACTGTGAACCAAATCCGTTTAAAATAAGAAACTGCAAAATAGTAACTTTGTAAAGTTAACTTTGCGTATTAGCATAAATTTTACAAGCGGTGAACTGTGAACCCTCTTCACTAATGCTTTTTAAAACAGTTTTTTTCACGCTTCAAATTTGGAAAGCTGTTATCGCAGTCTCACAATCAGCTTTTTGTTACATGAATAATATTTTTCTGTCAAAAAACTTTATTTTTGCCCAAAAAATCGGGCAAAAAGTTTGTTTCAGATAACTTTTAGAATAGTGGGTGCTACAAAACATTATAGTCAAGGCTGATTATTTAATCAAAATGTTTCTAAACTTAAGTGAAAGCGAACAAACCTGCAGCTAGACCACAAACGCTGGTGCAAGAGGCAATCGAAGATTTCCGGTGGAATTTCTAGGAAGCGATCACATACATGGTTTGCGCACAAACTTCCGGCGATTATTTTGAGTCAGAAAAGCAAACAATGTATTATATTAACAACAATGGGCTGTAATGAACTTATCTTATCAGAGGTCTTTATCAGAACTTTCCACAACTTACTTTCTGATTCATTATCAGCATGGCTTAGAACTGCCGAAAACTGAAGGCCTACTCGTGCCGTCGCGATAAGAAATCAATAATTCTGAGATTTTTTTTTATTTTTTTTCGGTCGGAAAACCGCAAAAAAATCTTTTGTGACATTTCGTTTAATTTCAACGAAATGGCACATTTCTGACCAAACATGGTCAGGAAATAGCTTCACTTACGCTGAATCAACGTGTCGGCAGTGATCCAAATAAAATCGTCAACCTTTCTACAATCGACCGCTATTCTTTTTGTGAAAAAACGACCCTGTTTTGACCGGACAGAAGCCATACTGATTCACTCCCTCATTTTTACATGTGATTAGTGAGAAATTGAAATTGAAAAATAAAAAATTGATACTTTCCATATTTTGCATTTTGACTTTTCTGATTTGAATGCTGTCCCACTTACAAGGGAATCAAAGCTTCATCAAGCTCCTGACAAAAACAATTTTGTCGGTCACTTCTTCCATCAGTGATCGATGCGTTCATCCAAAAGAATAAATCGCTGGATAACCTCTTTAATTTCGCAGAACCTGTTCGATATGGAAAAGCGAAACCACCTCAGACTTTCGATTCCCCTCATCATCAGTCGTTGGAAATGTCGTCGGCGGAGAAGGGACCCTCCGTGGTCCTTCTGACCACGGCTTTTATTCTGTCGGCCACGATTGGCGTCTTGGCCATTCTGAGTGCCGAGCTGAACCGAGAAATGCGCAGTTTGCGGGTGGAGCTGGACAAAAGTGCTAGTGAATTCATGGTAAGCGGGAAGTGTTTTATGAGGGTGAAAGAGATTGCGGAACACTGGTTGTCCCGGCATTAAACATGCACTCAAATGTTTGGGATATGGGAAAAAGTTCTTTATTCTGGCCACAACAAGGGTACTCCGCGAACTGCGCCCAAGCTTGGGAACTAAAGTTAGGAAAAAAGGCTTCGACCTAGCTGGCACTGAGCTCTAAAGTTTTAAGGGTGCCTGCAAAGGCTATGAAGACTCGTTTATTTTTATACGGAGGCAATAAGTTAAGTTCCGGACGAGGTTTCATCGTATAAAGCGTAAAATCGCAAGCTGCAGCCGTTTGAAAGGTAAGGTAGTGCGTAAAACATGGTACCTCACTAACTAAATCCACTGTCCGGACATTGAGAAAGATGAATTGAGCCTGCACGCTAAATTTGGGCTAATTCTGACCAGTTTCCGCAAAGTTATAAGTTGTGGCCAGAATAAGGAACTTTTACCGGAATATGTAATTTTTTACATAAAAAAATTGCCATCTTATGCTTTCCTTTCCAGGCCTCCACCAACGACATTTGGGACAATGTTCAACGTTTCAAACGAGAGAATCGAATCAAAACAAAACGCGGCGCTGGTTTCCAACACTTTCCTCCGGTTTACCGCCAGCCACCGCCAACAGCTAGTTACCGCATTGGTGGCCCGATATTCAAGACTCATCTTGTACTTGGCAGTGGGGCTGCAGTTCCAGCGTCGTATTACCAACCGCAGTATCAGTATCCCGCGTATCAGCCAGCCGGCTACGTGTATCAACAAGTTGTGCATACAGGCTTCCAACAGCCAGTATATCAAACCCCGGTTAGCTATCAGGTTCCTCAGGGTTATCAGACTCACCAGACTCGCCCAGGATATGTGGTAAACCAAGGAGGAAGGCCGAATCCTCCGCTAGGGAGTATTCCCAGAACGGCAACTACTGGAGGCTATACAAAGCCTACGGCGAGAAAAAGTGGTGGAGATTATATAGGCGGGAGTCAAAGCGGAGCCGGAGCCGCGTTAGGTGCTGGAGCCGGAGATAGCGGAGATGATGGAGCCGGTCCGGGATGCAGTAAGTTCTACGGCGCTCGTTGGCATTGGCCACATTGCTTTAGATTGCGGCCCATCACCCACGACTTGCCCGCCAGGTCCACCGGGACCGCCCGGTGAAAGGGGAGAACCTGGAGGTGAGATTGTTGAACTACTCCTTTAAAATTGATTTTTGTCGCTAAATTTGCATTTACTTTAAGAGCCTGGAGAACCTGGAGGAGCCGGAGAGCCTGGCCCGCCCGGAGAAGAGCTCCATTTCAAGAAGATCGATCCTCCCTGTCTGAAATGCCCAATGGGCCCTCCAGGACCACAAGGGCCTCGAGGAGAGCAAGGAGAAGATGGCGAAGACGGCGTTGACGGTAATGACGGATTCCCTGGCCATGACGGAATCCCCGGACAGCCGGGACTTCCCGGCGACGTTGGTCTTGTCGGCCCGCCCGGCGAAACCGGCCGACCTGGGCATCCTGGTGCTGACGGCGAACGTTATCTCACAGTTCCCGGCCTCTCAGGACCTCCAGGTCCAGCGGGACCTGCCGGCCCTCCAGGTGACATCGGACCGCCCGGGCGGCCTGGTGGGCCCGGTCAAGTTGGGGAACCTGGTGCTGCTGGACCTCCGGGACGTGATGGACTTCCGGGCTTCCCCGGCACACCCGGAGAGGCTGGAAAAGACGGCTTTGAGAGAGGTTACTGCCCATGTCCTCCTCGAGTTCTGGGCTCACTACCTAACGATAAGTCACGTGTGTGGAATAGTGTGGCCGCTGAGAAACCGCCAACTCCGGGGCAAGTTAGACTTCCTGTAATCGCCGTCAGACAAGGAACCACAGCAGGTCAGCACAAAAAGAGTAGAAGAAAGAAGACCCATCGTCGACGAGGCAACTTGATCTCCAACTAATCACATTACTGTAATTACAAAATAAACTTGAGACTCCAGGACTTGACGGTGCGCATTCAAGGTCACAGATCATGCGTTATTTTTCAGCTGTTTTGTGCAACGAGTTGGTTAAAGCCCGGAGATTAAGCTGTAAAAATAAGTCTATTAACCTATAACAAAAATGGGTATTACATTTTAACTTCTTTGTAAACAGATCCGAAGGTCGACCCAGCGCCTCTTCGGAATCACGGGTTATCAATCCCGACGTTCCGATGGGTCAATTTTACACTGACCCGAAACTTAAGTGGCAATCATTGACTGATGACGTCAAAGACCCGATGCGATTAGCTCGTTAAGTGTATTAAAAAGTCGAGGAAGGACAGTGTCGAAACAGTGTGTAATTCCAACAACCGGAAATTCTTGAGGCGGCGGGTGGAACGGCGGGCTGTCACATTTGGGGTCCGCTACGGTAAACGTTGAGAGTCAAGGGTTGAATCTTTCGACTGAAGCTGCTGGGAGGTGAGATATTGGGATAGATTGGGTGAATATTATTGATTTCTTTACCTCCACTAAAACTTGACACTTGATTCTCGATCATTCACGTCAAAAAACATTGGCTTGCGTTTTAAAATAAATGGGAGTTCCGAGATGTAAAAATGAAATTTAAACTTATATTGGGCACTTGACATCCCGACAGAAATCGGTTTGTTTGAACTCTCATAACATACATATAGTGCATTTGACCCTCGAGTGTTGTTTTTGTAGAGGCTTGTTGTTTACGTTGCAGATAGGTATGTTTGTCGGAAAAATAATGAGAAATAGTGGCGTCTTGGAATTATCCATAATTCCTTTGCGGTAGCTAGCCGCGACTGGGAGGTTTTCGACTGCGGCGGGACATTTTCCTGCGACAATTCCACATTGATTTCCCGACAGAGTGATGGGTATCTTACTGCCAAATAAGTTCTTTCCGTTAGGCCTCAAGGTGCGTGTGAGTCGCTGAACAGCATTTTGTACTCGTTTACCGTTCTTATAAAGACGTGATGCCGACCAAAATAGCCCTAAACTAATCTTTTTTCAGAGCCATGAGACCGCTTCTTCTTCTACTCCTTCTGCTCGCCCTTGTCCAACCAGCCACCGCTTGGTTTTGGACCAAATGGTTTACAACCACAAAGACCTCATCAACAGTGGTTCGAAGAGCATCGTCAGCTCACCACTACGGCCGCCGAGGCTAAAATTCGATCTCAAACGCTCATTCAGGTTCTAATATTTACTGACTGTCAGTCATATGTATTCCTTTGTATCTAATGTAGATAAATGAACTAATAATTCATACGATACTTGTACTTCTCGCAGGGGATCACCGCTGGGATCTGCAGCTGATCGACAATGGTATATTGTGGCCACAGAGCGGCGATTTGCACACACTCTTCCATAGTGGTAAGGTTCTGGTCTTTGTAGAGTGCCTGCAAGTTTTGTGTGAGAAAAAGGGGAATTCTATCTTGTAGACGTAATACAAGTAGTACGGGTAAAGAGAAATTGCCTACCGTAACTTTATCATCCATTTCCTGGACCCTGGCGGCGAGAGTAGCATGCCTCAAGTCATGCTGCCTGTCCAACTCCTTTTGCCTTTTCTCCACAAACTCTCTGAACGTTTTGTACATCTCCTGGAACAGCCAGCTCTACAAGAGTGAAGCCGCACATTCTCACCTGGTTTTCCTTTGGCAACGTGCCCACAAACTCGTCAATCTTCTTCTGCAGGTCCTTTTTTGGGATATCATGCTGCATCAGTAGATCATTATAAGTCTTCTTGAAGCTGGAATCAGCGCCGTCCAAAAATCCGAACGCCCGATGTGCTTCCACGGCCGGCACTACCTCAGAACCGGCAGTACCAACCACAAGAAGCACAGAGATGAACACTCGCAGCATAGCGGTTGTGAACAGATCCAACCAAAAACACGCAGAATTTTATTCATGAGACCGGTTTGTTTTCCCAGTTGTTGTAAGGTTTTCGCTCCTTTTTTGGGGCTGTGAAGGACATTCGGATCAAAATTTCAGAAGCAAAAACAGACAGCTCAGCGAAAAATCTTCTATAGCAGGGAAAATTGAGATTGATTACCGTCTATGGGTGTACAAAACTCGCTCAGCTTCCGCTGTAAGAAGAGCAAATCGGACGGTTTCGGTTGTGTTCGGTTCTGAAGAGTAGCTGAAGGGGCTTTGAGAATTTTCTTGGGGTTTGAGAAATTTTGCTTTGCAGGGGAAATCATCCAAAGAATAAAGGCATGAAAAGTTTTGGCCTATTTCTACCGTTGAGGCAGGAATTGATACATGGGTTGTTTCGAAAGTTCCGTCGTTTCTTTATTATTCTGTTTTACACGAATTGGGGCTTTGGTAGTTCAGCCCCCCAGGAAAGGTAGTTCAAACCCCCACCGTTTTGTCCATTTCACACCCCCATAATTAAAAATTAGAATCATACAAAAAATGCAAATTAGAGTAAAATGACCCCCGGCGTTTTAGTTTAAACCCCCAGTTACCGTTCAAATTCGTGCTACTACCTTTTTTTTTGAAAATTTAATTTTTTTATTAATACTTTTTAAGCTTAAAAAGTTTTTGAGGGCCTCTTCGCTGTCGGATTTTTCACACCGGATTTGGTTTGACAGGAAAAGGTGGTAATCGGTTGGCGCAAGGCCCTACAGTATGGCAGATGCTGAAGAACCTCCCATTTGAACTCTTGGAGTGCGTATAGCCTATGCACGAACTGTACGCTAAAATTTCATTAAAATTTGAGCGTTGTACTTGTCATGCTTTCCACGTAAGGTATATCAGAACGTTGAGTTACGGTATTGTCTCACCATGAACCTTTTGACAATTGCAATTCTTCACGTATAGCCTGCGTTTTTCACACTTTTTAAAAGTAATCCCTATTCTTTCTAGAACTTTAAAAGTCGCATGGAGCGTGATTATTATTTATATAAAGGCATTCGTCAATGATCATACGCATGTTTTTTTTCCAGGAGAGATATCCGGTTATCTATGTTGAAAAATTGATAGGAGTCTTTCAATACTTCAGCGCTTTGGTCTCTGAATTTCCGACGCCGGTAAAAAACTTGGAGAATAGGCTTTTTGCGGTTGAACCTTATCCTTCGGTGGACGGGAGATTGATGGCGTCCGAAACGTCTATTATACAGTGATCCGGCGAGACTGGATCCCACCGCCGCGCTTGTGCCATGTTATGGAGAGGAGATCTTTGTTTTTATTTTTATTGGTTTGCACTTTCGGTGCGTCGGCTGCGGAATGTGAACATTGCAATGTTACAAACTATGAGTTGGTGTTGGAGCAGCTGGAGTTGTTCTATCAGCATGTCTCGATCAGGGCGATTTTGCACGTAAGTAGGGAAGTTATAAAGAGCGATTCTCATATTTTAAAAGAGTATTTCGCACACACTCTTATTAGCCGAGATTGTTAATTTAAGTCTGTCGGGAAAATAACGTGGATTTGCATGATATTTCAAAGACTATTTAAATTTTCAAAATGACAAGGGAGTTTTCTACAAAAATTTTCGATGAAACAGTTTTTTTACAATTTTCAAAACACAATGTAACATGTTATACTATGAAATTTTTTTTCGTATAACATGTCACCTCATACTTTTAAAAAATTCGACAAAGTTTTAATCGTATAAAATGTCGGCCGTCATGGCTTTGTGAGGCTAGCCGCGGCCGGAGATTAGCTCACCTCGTCTATCCCGACGAAGTCAGCTGTTTTCTGCGACAGTCAACATTATTTCCCCGACAGACTGATCAAAACGCCCTGAGGCATCCGAGAATCAGGTTGTATGTATCTCCAACAGAGGCTGACGCCTTTCACATTCCAGATGAAAGCCCAGCGAGAGTTGGCCAAGCTTCCGTATTCCGACACAATCTCCTTCAACGACTGCTTTAAAAGCGCGAAAACAGTGGCGCAGATCTCCAAATGTGTTGCAAAAGTATTGGACGCCAGAAACCGGAACGCGGCGCTACAAGAAAACAGTCGACGGCTGAAGAAATACAAATTGTTCCGGCGCCAAATTGAGCTCTCCAAGCAACCAAGAATAATAGCCAAACCAAGGCCGGAACGGCTTCAGATTTATGCAGCCAAACGGACTAAACGAATGATCTCAACTCACTACGGTATGTGAAGGGCGATATAGGCTGTGAGAATGATGTTTTCAGCTCTAAAATCTCAGAACTGTAAACTCAGGAACAATGTCAAGGATCTCCTCAAATTTCAAGAATATTTCTCAAAGATGGACGAAGTTACCGACTTCCTGCATAACATCACCAAAGATAATCAAAAGTGTGTTATCCATAGCATACGGTTATTCAATTTTTATCTCTCGTTCCAGTTTTTTACGACGATCTGGATTGGATGTGGAATTTAGAGCCAAGTTCCCAGATCTCAACCTGAATGACACTGTTTTTGACGGAGCCGATGATGAGAATGCGTCGTCCTGGCTCTCACCCAAGTTGTTTAGTTTATATCATCATGCATCGAAGGAGGGGAACGACACTCTTTCACCGGAGATTTTCAGTTTTCAAGACTCTGGCATTGCCCCGTTGCCAAGACTTTTAAGGGTATGTGTTTTCGCTTGGTTGTAAAATCAACTAGGCACTTGGAAATGAACGCACGTCAAGCTGAGGAGTCCGGTGACCAGAATAGACCCTTCGCTATCGGTTTTTACACTTCATCTTGATTGCACAGAGAAGACAGAGAACAGACGCGCAAAAATGTACTCTCTCGCCCCAAAAACTCCCCATTTCTTCCCCGACAAAAATTTTTTTCGCACCTTTTTTTGGCGAATCGCCAATCTGTTCACCGGACCGTTTTAGCTTATTTCAGTTTGACGTGCTTGGTCTTTCAGATGTCCACTTCATCCGAATGCGACACCCTACGTCTCCTGAGCTTTTTCCTGGATATAACCGGCGGTTCAACGCAATTGAAGAAGATCTTCGACAGCTATGGAGAACATATCCAATTCGTCCTCCAGGTGCTTCATCCCAAGATTTTAAAGGAAAAGAAGAATGAAAAAATCCACCAAGAAGTCCAGAACCTCATGAGCGATGAGCAAAAGGAGGACATGCGAAGAAATGGCTACACCGCTTTGAGCAAGGGTCAGCTCGAACTCGTGTATGGAGAAAATGGGGTCACAAAGTCGGAGGAGCTGCAGAGATACGACAAAAACTATGAGGACGAGCTGGAGGAGGCTGTCCATCAACTGGCAACGTGGGAAGCTCCTAAAGGTGTGAGAAGTAAGTCGCAAGTCCATTTTGACCCCCAAGTGGAGCTGTTTAGACTCGACAAGACCCAAACGCTTCATTTACATCCCGGCCCTGAAGACCTCTATCTTCAAGGCTCGGATTTTTGATCCGGTTGCCTTCAGTTACCGTATTGATATGAACAAGATAATGGGTCCAAGTATTTTCGCTCCTCACGCGTTCTTCATGCATATTCTCGCCGGCACCCTTCTTTCCGTAAGCACTTTGCGAATTATGAGCCCTTCTGCTGACCTTGACTTGGCCAACCCAATTTCAGATGCATATTATTGCGCCGAGAACGTTTATGTTGGCGGTGATGGCGCCCAGTGTTCTTGTTCTTCGTGTGCTCTCGCCGACCGCCTTCCGGTTGCAGATTTTGGTGCCGCAAACAATGAATGCGGCCGTGCTCACACCGGAGGCCTTCCTCTTGAACGTTTTGGCGCCGAAAGCGGGCGATGCAAGAGTGGCGTCGCCAGAGGCTTTGGTGGCGCAGGTTCTGAGCCCGAGTAAGTGAAACTCGAGTGAAAGCTGGCATGTATGGCTGGGAAGTTATAAATCTTGGTGTGTTCGGAAAACGTGACAATTAAAGAACGATGATATTTAAAAAAATGTGCGGTGCTATAAAAAACGAATGTATGTGGCTAGGAGTACTCCCTAGAGCATGGCAAGAAGATTTTTGGCCATTGCAAAGGTTCTCGCTGCGAAAAAATCCAGAAAATCTGTCGCCCAAATTTTTGCATCGCAAAAGTTTTGAGCCCAATTTTTTTGTTGGTACTCTTGTGAGTGCTCCTTACAATATATGGCCGTTATAGTATATAACACTGACATTTTTTAAATAGGTGTCATCATGACACCTTTTCTGGACACACAAAGATTTATAAGTCTCTCGATTTATGAGCCACACAAATATGTATCATTATCTCTTTGAATTGTAATTTTCAGCGTTTGGCGGAACAAAAATTGGCTCACCAAACATCCTCTGTCTCTACGTTCTCAGCCCCTCATTCCTAACGTACAACTACTACTCAGGAAATCGATATGTTGTACAAATTTTGTCTCCCGCATTCCTGGGAGCTCGAAGTAATCCGTTCTTCAAAAGTAACACCTAAACTTTACTTTTCTCATAACTTTGTACCATAATAGTGATAAAACAATTATTGTAGTCATAAGTAGGTCATATTGCGAATGAAGTTTCAAAGATGCGTAAAGGCTAAACAGAACATTGAGATACCTCGTGAATTAAATAAAACACAACTGGGTTTGCGAATACAACACGTATGCTATAGTAAGGTCATAAGTTATTACAATATTATTGGAGCGAAGGTTTGGTATTTGGGAGCTAAGATCAGAACCGGTATTTAGCTTGCGGGTAAAGTGCTCCAAGTGCTTAGATTTTTGTGAAACTTTACACCCAATTTAGGCATAGACCATATGCAAATTCCTGAAAATTTTAGCTCTCACTTTGCAGCTGCAGCGGAGATATTCAACAATATTCGAGCTTCTTCTGAATATTTAGTTCTCTTTTTAGTTAGTTTCATAAAAATCTGAGTACCTCCACTTGGACTACTTCCCCTGTTAAATGAGTTTAAGAAAGTAGGTAATGAGTAAGTGAACTGTACATATCATGCGAATCCGTAATGCTTATGCATCACAAATGGGACTATTGGGGCCACTTTCATCCGTGTCGCTGGGCCGGATTAGACCGTCCATTGAGATTCCACCATCATCGCCTTGCGTCACTTCCGACTTTGGGCTGGGATCGGCACCTTTCTCTTCTAGGCGGGTTTGCGAGACGTTCCGCGATGGAGCCATCGACAACATGCTGGTGGCTCGGTTGGGTACAGCACCACGAGTGTAAATGTCAGCGAGAGCTAGTCGGAGCTGGAAAAGAAAGGTTTGAGCTCCTAGGATGTGCCAAAAAAAGTGAATACTGAATATTTTATGGTCGGTCTTTGTCTTTGAAAGGTGGCTTTCGGGCCGGCCTGATAAGACATGGCTCTCGGGCCGGCCCTATAAATTGCAAGATCGGGCGGGCTATGTCCTCTAGGGTTTTCTAATACCACAATAATTGATATAAGCAGCGTTTCCGCCTCAAATCGGTTACAGTGCGGGACCTGATCCAGTGGCAAAAAACGTACCATTTTGCATCCGGGAAGTATCGAAAATGTGGCAAAATGCTTCCTTCTCCAAGAGAAAATACCTCGTTTGTTTTGGAGGGCGCGCCCTTTCCTTCACAAAAAGAGCGGGTGCGCTTTTGAAATCTGAGTTTTTTCACCTGGTTAGGGAGGTATTTTGCCACATTTTTTGATACTTCCAGAATGTAAAATGGTACGTTTTTTGCCACTGGATCAGGTCCCCCACTGTGTTCTTTATAGCGTTACATTTCTTATTCAACTGGCACAAAGTCCACAAAGTCGAAGGTCTAGTCATAGAAAATCTATTTTGCTCAACAGAAGGATTAGCCGCTTATTTTCAGCTTCTTCCGGTGAAGACTCTTTTATCTTGTTTTGAGATTATGCATATCTACATTAAATTCTTACCTCTCTCAACGCCACCACTCCAACCAACTTCCCTCTGTGCGTGACATACGCATGATTCAAGCTGAGCAACGAGAACAATGTGTGCACCTTGTAGAGCGATGTCCCCAGGACCAGTTGGAACGGCGCTGAGTCAATCGCCAGTTCATCCAGATTGATGGGTTTCTCCAACTTCTTGGCGTGATCTCGAAGCGCGCTGTTGGGCTGAATGTCCAGAAAGTCAGAGACTATCATCAGCTTAAACACACACGAAAGCCGGGTTAGTAGAGTTAACGAAGCGGACGAAGAATTATTTTAACTTTGTTTTTAATGGCATATAGGTTAAAACGGTAAGCTTTGCACATCAAACGGGGTTAAGTGGGGGCAAACTGTGGGTGAACTCGGTGTTAAAGCAAGAAATGGCAATTCAAAGCTCACAACGACTAATTATTATATTCACAAGTCACTAGCTCTTTTAACGAGTCTATATAGCCACTAGACAATACCTAACCTACAGGTGTCATAGTTAAGTCGGGCTGATCTCTTCGGAACGAGGCCGACGAAAAGATCCCTCGCATGAAAGAGCTCTAAAGAACATTGGACTTTAAACGGTTAGCTTGATTACTGTATGTATCAAAACGTTATCAAGCAGCTTGAAGGCAAAAGTATTAGCAATCTTTGGCGGTTTCGGCAAACATTCAACTCACCCCTCTGATCTCGCTGAACGGATCCAACGGCTGATTGGGCCTTCGGAAGATGCTGTTCAACGTTGTTTGACATTCTAAAGACAGTGGCAAATTTACAAGCCACGCCAATACAACTTACTGCTATCCTCATGAAGAGGGCTTATGGACAACAAGGTGTTTCCGGAGAAGGTCTTGGTGGTCATTGTGTGACCATTCTGCTCTCGTGGACTCTTCTTTGACGCTCGAGAGCTGGGCCGATTCGAGAGCAACGGATCCGCCCCGAGATGCACGTTGAGCAAGTAGTTTAGGTACTTTCTGGCGACTGATCCGAGAAGAATCTTTTCATCTGAAAATGAAGGGCTGTTGGTTGATTTGAAAGGACATACCATCATCAGTGACCAAGGGATATGATCGCAGCTGAGGGGTGTTTATGAGCAGCTCCCGGAGCTCCTTGTAGGTGGTTTTCTTTGTGATGTAGACAACATCTCGAACCATAATTTGCTCAACTTTCAGGGTGTGCACACTAAAATAATTTTGTGTCATATTTGGTTTTGTGATTAAGTTTGATATTACCAATAATATCAGTCGAAAAGTCAGCTTACCTAATTCGAGACGGCGGCAGTTCCGTCAAATGCGGATACCTCTTGATGATGATAATGCTCTCGTAAATTGAAGGGTGCAAGAAACTGCTCACCGCGTTGGCAATCATCAACGCTATCTACATGATCAATATATTTCAGAAAAAATGTATATACTCACCAAAACAGGCAATAGCGCGCACAATTGCCCGGTCGTCTCGCAGACAATCACGGCGATGCTCAAGGAATGCGTTATGGCGCCAGTATAGGCGGCCGCTCCTAAGATTCAGTTGCTCCGTCTAGACACATTAACCTACCAACAACGGCGTAAAGGCCGGGATAGATTTGGGGCCCATCGGGACCACGGATTCCCTCAGGGAACATAATGGTCATGAGCTCGCCAATAACTCTTCCGCCAGTGGCGCCGAGGACAAACGAAGGTACGAAAATTCCCGCCGGCACAGCCAACGTGATGCAAACGGCAACTAACAAGTACTGAAAAAGGTAGAAGTTAAGAAGAATACGGGTGGCGAACTACAGTGATCCAGTGGTCCAGTGGCATAAAACGCATAATTTTGCATCCAAGAAGTATCAAAAAATGTAGCAAAATGCATCCCTCTTCAACTAAAAAACCTCGTTTTGAAGATCGCACCTTTCCTCAACGGAAAAAGAGGGCGTTTTTTGGCAATGACAATTGTGAAATCGGAGTTTTTCACTTGAAGAGGGAGGTATTTTGCCGAATTTTTGATGCTTCCCGGATGCAAAATGACACGTTTACATCAGATCAAGCACTTTATAAAGCCTCTGGAATGTGCTGTTTTCTACATACATTAACAAGGAAGTATCCCAGCAGTGTCCGCAAAAGCACGCCGCTTTCAAATACGCCATTAGTGGCCCAGCGCCGCAGAAAACTCTCTTGACAGCCCATCGCGGTGGTGTTGTACAAACTCATGGTGCAATTGCTGATAAGGTCGCTGATTGTCTCGCGGAATGTGTACCGTCCGCCAATGTATTTGCCGAATCCATCGGGGAATGTGATCAGTCCAACAACCAAGGCCATGAAGACGGTGAAAGAGAAGCCACTAAAAATTTAGCGACGTTAAACAGTCTTTCGGAAAAAATAATGAGCCCTATGTCGCATTAAAGATCGCATCGTTATAGTAAATGTGTCGCGGCAAAATGAAATTTCTTTTTACTTATGCGATTGGCGCATCAAAATTGTGCTCAATATTTTCCCGACACACTGATAAACCGGACACGATGCAAATACCAAAATTTGCATTACTTTTAAGCTTTAAAAACCTATGCTTACCTCGTTCCAAACAGCTTCTTAAAGATCGGGCTGTTCTTCTTAATTGTTGTGATTTTCTTGTGCAGCATGAGGAACATTGCACCGGCTAGCCCACACAGAACGCTAAAAAAAGTTTTCATTCTGCTATAACTCTTAATTCTTACCCAATAAGCATGAAGACCGGGATCTCTTCGATCAAAAACACTTCATTGGGGAAGCTTGTCTGATAATACGCTGTGATCGTTCCGGCTGAAATAAAATCTTATTTTCCGACAACAGATGACGACTTACCAATGTCCGGAGGGATGATTGCAGCATTAGCAAATCTGAAGATCAATGCGCTGCAAGTTGTGGCAAAAAAGGCTCTCCAATAGTTCTTTACAGCAAAGTATTTGTGAGTGGATTCGATGCCATACAACACAGCGCCCGCTGGAGCGCTGAATGTGCAGGCAATACCCTGAAAAGGAGATAAGATATAGTGGCGGACCTGATCCGTGGTAAAAAACATACCATTTTGCATCCAGGAAGCATCAAAAAATGTGGCAAAATACCTCCCTCTCCAAGTGAAAAACTCAGAGTTCAAAAGCGCGACCGCTGTTTTTGTGAGGAAGAAGGGCACGCAGTTCGAAAAACGTTTTTTTTACTTGGAGAGGGAAGCATTTTTCCACATTTTTGATACTTCCCGGATACAAAATGATACTTTTTTTGCCACTGGAACAGGTCCCCCACTGTATAGTGAAAAAACGGCCATAAAAGACGATTTTTTTTTTGATTTTTTGATCTTATGGACTAGGTGCAAAACTTACCACCGCACAACCAGAGGACAATATCTCCACTTCTCTGCCTTCGTTCGAAAAGAACGCCTTGTTTTGCCACTGTCGGGTCATCTTGGAGAGCAATGTAGCCACAATCGCGCCCATGTGCACGAACGGACCCTCCTTCCCCAACGGCATTCCACTGCCCAACACCAGGGTCAAGCTTAACATCTTGGCGATTAAAGTTCGGAATGTCAGGTAGTTATGAAGAGTGAATCCGTTCATAATCACCTTAACCTCCGGGATTCCAGAGCCAATCGCTTGAACCGAGATGTATTTGCAGGTGAGAGCGCCGAGGGTGCAGAAGAAGACAAGGTAGGTCACCCAGGACGTGAACCCGAGAACGTAGTCGATCTGCACCGCTTTGTCGTAGATTACCGCTCGGTCTAAGATAGAGGAAATATAGAGAAATGTATAGTAAGACAGAGATTCGGAGTACAGTGGGGGGACCAGTGGCAAAAAATGCACCATTTTGTATCCGGGAAGTATCAGAAATGTGGCAAAATGCTTCCTTCTCCAAATGAAAAAGCATTGTTTTGAAGGGTGCGATTTTGAAATCGGAGTTTTCACTTGGAGAGGGAAGCATTTTGCCACATTTTTCATTCTTCCCGGATGCAAAATGATACGTGTTTTGCCAATGAATCAGGTCCTCCACTGTATTTCAAATCAGATTCAGAGTATTTCAAACAAAAGCCACCCAAACTCACAATGATTCATGTACTCGTAGCCAACGTCCACACTGATCGACAAAATGGCCGTGATGAAGCCCAACATGGCTGAGAGGAACCAGTCCTCCACAAAGAAGTGGAGCACATTTCTCCCATGTCCTAAAACAAAGTGAAAATCAAACTTTTCATGCTTCAAAAATCGGCGAATCCTCAATTGCTTACTTTTGAGAAAATGCGCCCAACTTTCGTGATAATCGGACCCCAAGTCATCGTTAAAGTCGTCGTCCTGCTGTTCGTTCTCTGCGTAGTTCGTATTCCAGTCCTGAACCCCGGTGTCAACACTGTAATCAGCGATATAGCAAGTGATTTTTTTGTAGAAAAAAATATATCAAGTCCATTTTTTCGTTTTGAAATTTTGCCCCTCTCGCTTGAGGCAAATTTAAAATTTTTTGCGGTTACAATAATCGGCTCAAATTTTCGCTGTAAACAAAAGATTTTTTATCAAAGCGCCCTTGTGAAAACATACGTGATCGAGCTGACCTTTGACATTCCAACGACCACTGTTTCCGACTACCTTTGACGCGCTTTGATATACAAAAAGAAACGACATTATATACCCCATTACTAACTGTTTCTCTTAATATTCGCAATTGCAGGTCTTGGTTTCAATTTCTTGCCAAATAACCTGCTCCCATCTTTTTGATAACCGTTTTTTATTGCTCCCTTTTTGATTGAAATTGTCGTTCTCAAGTTTTTAGCTATTACAAGCGCGGTTATTGAGTTCGAGATGGGTCTCTGAAGGCTGCAGGAGAAAAACCCATATCAAGAACGTTCAGAATCAAATTCTACGTGGGTCTTTTATAACAGCTCTTCCAAACAGAAACAGTGTTTTTTGTAGCGCTTACTCCCTGCAATGGAAGATGTCAGCCTGTCGGGAAAATAATGTGAATTTGTCGCAGCAGAAATTGCTTTGTTGCAGCGGTGCCACAAATCTCCAGTTGCAGTCGAGAGGCAATGGGAGGGGAGAGGTTTTAAGGCGCGACCAATCCACATTATTTTCCCGACAGACTGATATTTGGCGCAAAAAATCCTGAAAATTTGCGCGCTGTTGTGACGTGGGCGCAGACCGCTGCTTTTTTCTGGCCGCTCTTTTTATGTCCCTGCTAACGGGAAGCTAAAATTTGTTGCTATTGATAAATGCCCTAGTAGCACCATGTCTTCAAAATTTTAAAAAAATCTGAGCATCGGACTGCAACTACTCCCTCTGCCAAAGAAAATTATAAAACCTACTTCAACAGCAACTGTTTGGAGTTCAAGGTTTCAGCATTGGCCGTCTTGCGCTGTGGTCCCGGCATGCGGTCGCCAAGGGTCTCTGTGGATCCTAAAGAAAAGAAATGAATTGAAAATTCGTCTTTGATCGATTAAGTTCAACCCGAATACGAGCACGATCGGCGCACAGATAAGGAATATTAGTCACAGAGATTTGTTTGACATTTCTTCTCGCTTTATTTTGTAAATACCGCCAAAAAGTCCTTGGGCGATAAAAGCAAAAAGTTCAAAGTTAATTCTAGCGGCATTTCCGACGTCAATTCGTCAACGCGGGTTGAAACCATGACGTTTACATATTGCGGCAAATGATGATGCAAAAATGCAAATAAATAGCTGACGGGCTGGGCAATATTACACAGCTATGGGCTTATGTATTCCCTCAACAAGGCGGTTTTCTCCAAACACCAAAATTTAAGCGGTTTGAGGGAGAAAAATCTTGGGAAGAGACTTTATCTTGAAGAAAGAGACAAATCCTGGTACCCTTTATAACAACACGGAAGGGGGGTGCACAGGATATAAGAAGGTGGATGAGATACCAAATGACGGCCAAAGGTTTTAAATAGAATGTTTTTACAATGTTATGGGTCATCGCGCTTCCACTGTGCGTGTTACAGTGGGCGTTAGAGTTTGTTTGAGCCAAAGGAATTGGCATTTTTGACTCGTAAATAGTTGTTCGAACAAAACCGTACCCTCAGATTACAGGCAACTTTTCTGTGGCTAAGGAAAATGCAACGGCCCTTTACACCATGAAGTATATAACCTTCCGACTTTTCAGGTTGACGACAGTTCGAATCAACAAAAAATCGATTGATACAAGGCAGGTGGATACCCAAAAAGAGAGGTTTTAGGAAGTGCTTACAAGGCTTGGCAAAACCATTGGATGCTCGGCGGACGCACGGCGGAGACTTGGCAAATCTTGCAACATGTCCACTTTTTCTAATTTCGCAGTGGGGGACCTGATCCAGTGGCAAAAACCGTACCAATTTGCATCCAGGAAGTATCAAAAAATGTGGCAAAATACCTCCCTCTTCAAGTGAAAAAACTCAGATTTGAAAAGCGCGCCCGCTCTTTTTGAGAGAAAAAAGGGCGCACCCTTCAAAACGAAGTTTTTTCACCTGGAGAAGGGAAGCATTCTGCCACATTTTTGATACTTCCCGGAGGCAAAATGGTACGTTTTTTGCCACTGGATCAGGTCCCCCACTGTACCTATTTCTGACGCTTATTTTTTCTGCCGTTGACCTGAAAAGTCACAGGGCAAATATATTGGGATCTCAATACGAACCTTTCAGCCGCTCAAAAAGAATCTAAAATTATAAGCGAAACCCTAATTCCACATAATATCTTAATTCGATCTTCAAACACCTCACAAAAGATCCCTCTTTAATCCCACTTCTTACAACCCAAAGCACAACCCCATGAGAACGCAAAGCCCATGACGTTTCCCCCACAGTACTCACAGCTCATCATTTCCTGTACAGAAATCCCATTGAAAGAATTCGAAGGGAATCTCTTTAAACCCAAGGCGGACAAGAAAAAATTGCTAAATATTTGCTTAAGGGGGCTGTGTGAAATTGTAGACCTGACAAAAACTCAAAAATTTGGCAGCGCAAAAAGCGAACCGACAAAAATAAAATAAATCTTTGAACTCGGGGAAGTGAGAAAAAAGCTTTAAGAAAAAGTAATAATAAAGCCCCACGGTAAAACTTCTGAGACATACATACGTATTGTGAGCAGAAGATTTTTGTCATTGTCGGCTATCTACGAAAAATTGCAGTATCAGACGGTCAAAAAACTGGTTACAATGGTGAAATATTATACAAGACATAGCCATAAAAGTGCCACCAATTATTAATTCCTGGAACTCACGGAAAGTGTGGATTATTAAATTTGGAACTCTTATTACAACCGGTTTGCAGGGAAAGCAAATTGATTGTTGTGAAGGGATTTATTTCAAGAGGATCTTGATGACCGTAATGGCAATCTGCTAGAGACAATTTCATCCATAAGTAGCGTTGTGTCAACAATCGTGGTGATGTTATGGCAGCCACCTATTTATCGTCCTAGAACATTGTACGGTTCCTTAGAAAACAAAGTTCTCGATGGGCCATGGCCTGATTTTCATCAATTTTCTATGACTACGAAAATATGCAATGTTCGTATATAGGTTAATTTTTTTTTTGAAAAACTCCCATAAATATGGCCAAGCAGTGTTTTTCTCTGTAACCTTTCTGTTTTGCATATTCTAGATCACTGAATTTATTGGCTGTTCCAGCATAGCGCAAGTTAAAATTTTCAGAAAATCATACGTGGCCTCTGCTCGAACTGTGTGAAAAATTTAAGACGCTCAGTAAAATCTAAGCGTCGCAATTGGAGTATTACCTTGCCTCTGTATGTAATTCACGTATGCAGCTATTGCCTTGCATTTCGCGGAGACACTGATAATCTACAATATGTACTTGTGTTAGCAACGATAAAAGGGGGGTTAGTGAACAACACTTTCAAAATTCAAGTTCTTTTTATGCAATAACCAATACCTACAAGTCTTGAAACCTTTTTTTTGTCAATATCCGCAAAGCCCGGTAAAAATGCAGCTCTCATACAAGCCATACCACAGAAGACTACCGCATCTCAACAGGAACGAAATTTTGTCTCTAGTCTTTGACAGTTCAAGCCCGACTTGGACAGACGTTTGTCAAATGGGGGAAGAGGCGTATGAATAATTTATTCCAAATTAGGAATCAGCCGGCCTTTCCATTATAAAACAACTCAAGGGGAATCCCAAAGGTCAAACTCAGCGTTCCCTGAGTTTTCTTTCACATGGCACGTTCCGGGGTTCAAAACACAAATTGGCTTCGTTAAAGGGATATGTGTTTTTTCTGTTATCGTAACCAAACTTAACGCATATTTGGGGTAAGGATTAAAAGTGCAGGAAACCCCATGAGGGACAGCCACGTTTTTTACAATAGTTTTTTCCAAGCAAATCCATTATAGTTAAAAAGTGTATAACAGATTATTATAACAAAAAAATTGTCTGATCATTGAAAAATTTGGCGCTACATAGGTTCATTGTGCCCTAAAAATAAGACTTTTGGGGCTTCAAAGTTGGTTGTCAAAGGCAGCAAGCATAATTCAAGGAGTAGTTGTACTCTACCTTGCATATTTCCTAGAGAAAAAAAAACAAAAATTACATCAAAAAATCACTTCTTTCAGCGACTATTGCTACAGCTGCTAGCAATAGTCACAATTCATGTTCTCCCATCAATATGGAGAACATGAATTGTGCTGCGACAAAATCAAACTGCTTTTCACTCCAGCGCCTTATCTGCGCAGCAACATTCAGCTCATTATTTTCCCGACAGACTGGTTTTACAACACACACAGTCGACTACCGTAACTAAACTCACGCTAGAGCAATCACCGGACACTTTTAGCGTATCGTCTCCACCTCACCTGTTTACCAGCCCAAAATCCGCCGTTTTCCGATCGTTTCCCACTCTTCCTCTCCAGACGTTCCCAATGGAGTTTGGAAGGTCGCGAGCGAGGAAATTATTATTGGTTTGGCCTTCCCTGTAACCCCCACTGAACCTAATCCCAACCGAAAATAATAAGAAAACGTCAAAAGCGTCCGATTAAAGGGGGGCGCGAACGACGGAACGGTTGTTTGCGGCTGCGAAAATCCTAAGCACCCCCCGAGTTCACGGGCTAAAATACTGAGTTTACACTGGGAAATGTGAAAACAACGGGAAACGAGGGCTTTCTGAAGATGACTAACTGCGAATTGGAATAGGATTATGGTAAGAAGGGCTTTGCAGAGATTAATTTGGAGTTATTAAACAAGCTAATGCCTGTATTAATTTGTACATCCTAAAGAAATACCGATAGATTATGTCGATAGGGAAGATGTTTTTCGAGAAAAGTCTAATTATATATATAAATAGAAGATTAGAGTCACGAAACTTTTAAAAACGGAGTTGTGATGACATCAGACTAACTATGAGAGAGCGCGTAAAACATGGATTGACCCATAGAGAAAAAAGAACCTTTCTGCCATACAGTGGGATACCTGATCCAGTGGCCAAAAACATACCATTTTGTATCCGGGAAGTATCAAAAATGTGGCAAAATGCTTCCCTCTCCAAGTGAAAAAACTCAAAAAGCGCGCCCGCTCTTTTTTGTGAGCGAAAGGGCGTCCCCTTCAAAACGAAGTGTTTTCACTTGGAGAGGGAAGCATTTTGCCACATTTTTGACACTTCCCCGAATGCCAAATGGTACGTTTTTTGCCACTGGATCGGGTCCACTGTATCTACATATTTTTTTGCAAAATAAATAAATTAATTTTTTTGCAGAGCGATTGCTTACTGAATAAGAAGACAGGCATTGTCTGTCCTTCGAAACGTCGTCAATTGGGGGGAAAAGACGATTGGAGAAAATATAAGATATATTTTTTCGTTTTTTGAATAGTGAAATCATGCTTATTGACAAACCGGCATATAACGTCTCCTTCAAGTCATCCCATACGTATATTAGCAAATGGTCGGCAAGGTGGTTTTTCCTTCGATTTTTTCCTGTCATTCCCGAAATATGAGGGTTTTTAAAACTTGGTAGTTACCAAGTCACGGCAAGGGCTTTTAAAATTTGGTAAATGTCCCGGGATCCTAGATTTTTGGAAGTTGATGGTATACTGGGCGCGGCAAAGAAAATGGAAACTTATTTTTATAAGTTTTTTTTTCTTACAATCACAATTACGCAAAAGCAACGGTCATCATCAGCAACCTAGAAGGTTATTTATAACATATTCAACCCGTTTCACCGTGGCTGCTTTTAGTAGCGATATAGAGCTTCAAACGTGACTTAAAACCTAGCCAAAACGATTGCCTATTGCATCCAGTATGGACAGTTAATAAATATAATCTGAACACAACACCCTCCCTTATCATCTCTTTCCTGCAAAACATTGAAAAACAAGCTAAACGCTGCTTCAAGTCCTCCTCGTGTTGGGTGACGCCATTCCACCGGAACAACCGACTATTCTGCCTGCCACTTCAAGGTAATCCCATAAATATCAAAGCCCATTCGGCGGAGATGTCTCGGCCATTACTCCGCGACATGTAGACGGATATAAAACATATATACTAGCCAAAATGGTCTGATATATCTTCAATTAACCACTTAATCAAAAAATATTTTTAATGTCATGCCATGGAATGGCACGCGTAGTAATGCTAACACCGAAGACATGGCAATACCATGTCCAAAATACAATCTTGTAAAAAATTTCACAGACGTCCGAGAATGCCGTGTGCGTTTTTAGTACTCGAATTCCCAGGCCTGGCAATCGCGAATATACAAATTTCCCTCCGCAACCCCTAAGGACACAATTAATGAATGCCGAGGTTTGTTTGCGTTACACGGAACACCGCACATGTTTCCGTAGTATATGACATCCGAGGAAATGAGGGAAAAACAGCAGGGTTTGCGGAAAGAGTAGAAGATGATTTATTGGTCCAAGAAGACAGGAAGTAGATGGCTCTGTTAACTGGCGCAATATTTTTTTATTTTCTAAAAATGGGAAAATATTAGAGTCCACAGAGGTAATGAGGGGCATTTTGAGCACAAAAACTTTTTTAACGAAAAAATTCTAGAGATTACAATGAAACTTTGTGGAGTCAAAATTCAAAATCTAAGATCAAGTTCAGGCTCGGTCATTTTTGAAAGCTCAAGTTCAAGATCAAAAATTTTTCAATTTCAAGTTCAAACTCAAGCCCACAGAGATCTTTTCGGATCTCAATGGAAAAAGATGACTTTCTAACGCCAAAAATTGATAGTCTTTGAAAAAGTCTCAAGTCTATCGCCCAATGCAAGTCAATCCAGTGTAGTTAAAGCTATTTAATGACCAAGTTTTGGTCGATAATTCGTATCTCATCCAGTGCCTTATTTACAAACTAAAGTTTTAAGTGCATTATCCACAAAAGGTATTGTGAATTGTTACTTCAAAGAAAGCGGAAAAACTTGAGATCTAAACAATGATCTTGCAGTAAACTAACCTACAACTGCTTTATGCACTATTAATTATTTAATTAGTTATTAATTTCATAACAATGTAAAGTTATTACAACCACAATAAATTTTAGCGTATTTACACTTTACTATTACATAAAAAATTACAGCCAAAAAAATCCAATTTGTCGCAAGACACAAAGCATGATTTTTACAATGCCCGGCGGCATTGTTGGCACCTCAAACAAATGAGCGTTTTACGGAAAAAACGTTCCTGAACACGAGGCCGGAGGTCTCAAATGACCTTGAAAATACACTCTTTAGGACTTGTAATGATATTGTTGTCAATGATCTGTGCAAACAAAAAAAATGTTGACAAGTGTAATAGGCATTTGGAACATGGGCACGGCAAATTTAGAGCGGCTCATATTGCAAAAACAGACACACTGCAAACGTATTCAGAATTAATG